GCCAATTTAAAATGTGCAAATGAGTCACGGATTTGAACTTTTAATTTTAAACTTATAAACAGTATTGAAACAACTGAGAGACTTAAGGTTTGGCATAATCTTAAGGTTGAATTAAATTTGTAAGTTTTTTAGAACTACGGAACATTTTATTTTTAGGTTGAAATTTGATACATTTAAAGGAAACTGGATATATTACATTTTTAAAGGCAATCAAAAACGTTTGTAGGAGTTTGTTTATAAGTGGAACCAATCATTAAGTAAAGTTACATTAGACAAGAATGTTAACATTTGCCAGATTTAAAAATACTATATTAATTTTTGTAAACTGAATTAAATGTGAAGAAGAAATACATTTCTTAATGTGTAACATGAGTTTTAATTTTTAAAATCCAAATAATCCTGTGCGTGGAAAATTTGTCCTTGAGTTATAGATTTTAAAAAAAAAAGCTTGAATCAACAAATGCCTACTGCAAAGGGCTGCTGGAAAAAAATAAGTTAATACGTGAATACAAAGCATTGAGCAAAAAGTCTACCACAGAAGACTCAAAGTTCGCTCTTATCATTACTCTTATGTGACTCAAAAGTGGCTGGGGAGGTGGGATGTGAAGTCTAGAAGCAGACAGCAGAGAAAGTGCTGGGACACCAAGGACTCCCAGAAGCACTGAAGTACCCTGGCCATTTACCAAGATTAAAATGGCTGTCAATTATTCTGAGAAAAATCTTCTTTGATTCTTCTATCTGGGTCGTAAAGTATAAACCTGGCTAAATTGGCAGTAAGGAAGTAACCAAAGGGTTGGGATGACAGACATGAGCCACCACCCTCACCAAACATTTGACTTTATGGGAAATAAATAAATAAATAAACTAAGAAAATCAGAATTAACTAATTCAGGAGCTGATTCTTGATACAAACCAATTAATGAAGACTAATTTCCGGGTAATTTTATTAAGGAGCGGGAGAAAAGTACAAAGAAAGTGAGAAATGAAAATGTAGGATAGTTACAGATATAAGACATTACTTTGTAAAACCTTACAGAAATACATTAAGAAACTAGAAATGAACAGCTTTCTAGGAAAAAATAAATGACCAAATGACCCACATTGACCTTGGAAGATAAAACAGTAAAAACATTATCTCCCAAAACAATTAGACAGAAATAGTTTCACAAATATATTTTTCAGCTGTTAAGGAATAATTTTAATACTTTGTAAAAGTTCCAGAAGAGAGAGAGAAAGAAGGAAAGTTTCCGAATTATGGATCCAGTATAACCTGAGAACACACAGATGCTTTGGTTAACTGCAATGAAATCTCAGGAATAACCATTTTAAATGTTAAGTAAAATATTAGAGTAATAAATCAGCAGTACTATAAAGGAATAAGTTATAACAACCAAGTGAAGTTTATCCAAGAATTGCAATGATGGTTCACCACTAGGAAATATATTAACAAAATTATTCATGTGACAAAGTCTTAAAGGGGAAAAAAATGATTAACTCATTTGTGTTCAAAAGGCATTAAAAAAAAAAACTGAACATGCACTTTGATTTTTTTCAAGAAAACTTAAAAACAGTAATAGCTGAGTACCTTCCAGCTATTTTCTAAAAAAAAGATAGGAAACATGAATATTGAAAAGGAAGAGGAAGAACTGCTATTATTTGTTAAAGATTAGATTGTATATCTTAAATCTTATGAAATCTAAGATAATTGATCAAATATACTGGCTACAAAAATAATATTAAAAGGATATCGAGAGTTTTCCTAACCAATTAGAAATGGAAGAAAAGCTTCAACTTGCAATAGCAATAAACAAGATGCAACGGGCATTCCTGCCTTCACTCTGTCTGGGTGTCCTCTGCAGAGGCCCAGCTTAGGCTCCAGCACCAGCGGCAGTGGTGAGGTCCTCACACCTGAGGCTGTGGGGAAATGCAGGTCTGCAGCACACCTGGGGCTGTCCAGTGACCACCTGCTGACAGCCATGTTTCATATAGTACACCAGTGGGGAGTGGAATGTGAGATCAGAAATGCCTAAGTCAGTCACATGAAGAAAACAAACCTCAACAACTGTAAAATAAAAGCTTTTACTTAGAAAAACACAATTTTTTAAACAACAATTTTTCTCTCAAAAATCCTTAATTTCAGTGCAATCACAAAACAAATAAAATACTGTATCTGAATACCACTAAAATACTAGTGGATTATTTTTTGTAACTTGACAAAATAACAAAAAGTAATGAGGGGACATTTGCCCTAATAGATATTCGAAGTGTAACTGGAGGCCGGCTGCTCCTGTGATTCTCGTACTTTGGGAGGCCAAGGTGGGCAGACTACTTGAGTCCAGGAGTTTGAGACCAGCCTGGGGAACATGGTAAAACCCTCCCTCTACAAAAAATACAAAAATTACCCAGGAGTGGTGGCATGTGCCTGTAGTCCCAGCTACCTAGGGAGACTGCAGTGGGAGGATCACTGGATCTAATGAGGTCGAGGCTGCAGTGAGCAGTGATCAAGCCACTCTACTCCAGCCTGGGCAACAGAAGGAGACCCTGTCTCCTATTTAAAAAGTGTAACTGGAAAAACAGAATACAGTGTCAAAATGTAATTTAACAAATGCTACTAATCCACTTGACTTAATGGTTTGGAAAATAAGCAGAGCTGAGTTCTTATTCCATAACAAAAAGTAAATTCTAGATGAGCAAAAGATTTAACTCAATGAAGCTGTTACCCATAAACATTAAAAAAATACAAATGTTAGAAGAGAAATATGGGTAATTAAGAATAAACACTTCATGCAGCACGTGGAAAATTCTTTACATAAGGCACAAAAGCAAGAAGCCACAAGGAAAGCTGTATGGAAGGTGTCTGCAACACATAATAAACTGGTCAGTCTCCTTTACAAGAACCTGTATGAACAGACCAATAGAAAAACGAGCAACACATGAATGCAGAAGTTCACAGAAAAAGGAAGAAAGATGCCCCCAAAATATCTAAGAAGATACTCAAAGAACTCCCAGTCAGAACAACAATGGACGACTCTATCCAATCAGCAAACATTTTACCACTTAACAGCACCATGTTTTCATGTGGGCCTAGGAAAACAGGCGTCATCATACGTGACTGGTGGGAGTTCACACTGACACAGTATGTAAGGAGTCACGAGGAAGCAGCATGTTCATGTACGTTTTTAAAAGCATAGATGTGACACTGAAATTTCTTGGTATGACGTCCATTTAATTATCTTAGTGTTCCATACACAGTTCACAACAATTCAAAGAGGAGAGTGACAGGCAGGCGACGAAAGGCAGATGGTCATGCTAGAAAACGCATAAATGCCTCCTCCGTTCTACCTTAACCACCAGCATGACCAGAGCACGATTCTGCTATTATTTATCCCTGCCCTTTTCAGCCCTGCCCCATTCTCATTTTCTAGTCAAACGATCTTAAAGACTACTACTACTACGTTTCCCTATCTACGCAATGTAGATGAGCACTTTTTTTGAGTTATTTTTCGAAATTAAATGAGAGAGCACCTGTGGTATGTGGCACACAGTAAACATCCAATAAATATTACCTGCTACTTAGATGCTAAGTCACCATCATTGCAATCCATGACACAGGTTTTGAATTTTTATCTCATGTTTAAATCGTTCTATATTTTTTTTTTACTAAAACTTGCCTTGAATTCTTTTTAAAAGGAGGCAAGATATTTAAAAATAAATGATAATAGAAAATAATAAATTACATAAATAAATAAATGAGAGTAGAAAATGGACATCATTAAACTGAACAGTCGGGGCAACCTCACTTAGCAAAGGCGCTGGCTCTACAAGGCCTATGGCACACCTCATTATTGCTGCGAGGGTTGCTTCCTAAGAATCTGGATGCCCTTGAGCAAACCTCGGAGCAGTGGTGATTAGAGCCCTCTTAATTAAGTAAATAAAAGCAGAGCATTTTGGTTTTTACCAAAGGGAAAACCATATTTTTCCATGAAAGTATTGCTTGTCCTTCTGCGTAGACACAGCCAACATGACACACAGATTGGGAACTGCCAAACTCACCTCTACCTGAGGGCATACGTAACTGACTTGACTTTTCATCTCTCGCCCATGGCTCTCCACCTCCCTAGCCTCTTACTACACCATCCACTGCAACAAAGGTAACAGAGAAGAAAGGCAAAAGGAACTTTTTCCCAGGACATACACTGTCAAGTACCATCTGGTCAAAACTTCTGAAAGTTATTCCTCCTGTGATCTTTCAACGTTTTTATTTTCTTCCCTCCCCTCCCCTGCCCCCTCCCACTTACCCTGCAGCTAGCTCTAGTAATGCCCCATTCACCCTGTCAGCATTTTCGCAAATTCTGGCTCTCCTATGCACACCCTGAGAGCTTGCTCTCATCTTTCTCTTCAGTTCTGAAATCCCCAGCCAAGTACCTAGCAGAAAACCTAATAGTCGGTGCTGAAAAATGTCTTAAAATAAGTGAATAAAATATATTATCTATACTGCAGCATAGTACAAAGAGCCCTTGGTTAGTAGGCAGAAAAACTGGCCTCCAGTCTCGGTAAGGCTATCTGGTGGATCCACGGCTTCACAGAGAGCACTTCAGGATCCATTTCCTCATCTCTAAGATGGGGCTTTTACTTTGCTCTACTATTGTATATGGCTTCACAAAATGAGATGAAGGAAGCAAAAAAACAAAAAAAAAGCTTATTGTTATGCTAGTTTAAAGCACTATGGCTACTTCTGTTGAATAGCATTTGCTTTCTAAATTTAAGTAGGAATAATACAGTCATCTATTAGGAGAGGTAGATTTAATTAATATGTTTACTTGCCTTTCCCTAAAATAAGAAAAAAAAAACAAAGCAGCTGAGCTGGTAAGGCGTTGATCTCTGTTATGCCATCACAAGTGTAATGCTTACGCTTTGGGCAAGAAACAGCCCATGTTAATTGTGCCATGTCTTCCCACTTTAATTACAATGTAGATATAAAGTGTTGGGGTAATTCTTACCAGGTTCTGGAAGGTCTAACTTTGCCCGCTTTAATTCTGCCATAGAAATCTGAAGTTGTTCTATAACAAAATCATCTTCAAAGAAAAAATCCTTTGCCAAGGTCTCCTGAAGAAATTCTACAAGTTCTTCCATGGACAATTTCATTAGATGTTCTAAGAAAGGATAAGAGAAATGAAAATGCCAAGTCAACAGCCACTTTAGGTGGAAAGATATTCTACTGTAGTCAGGTGTAGTGTAAAAGGGCATTAAAAAGGGCACAAACAGCATACAACTTACTTATGGCATTGAGGACATCACTGAAACTCGGTGAGACAGAAACACTGGCACAGAGAACAGAAGGAAAGTTTACTGGGGAAAGGAGGGGAGGATACTACTGCCTAATACTTCCTCATTGGAATAACCACGTAGCCATTAATTTTACCCCAGAGCAAGGGCTTCTTAGAGACAGGCGCAAGAAGATCACCTCAGCGGGCATGAGGCCTTTCTCTTTTAATGAAATGGAGCTCCAAATGCTATAGGGAAGCCCCATTTTAAGTCTATATTTATGACTGTTTCAGAATTTCCCAAAACATCTGGATTATTAACTTTGTGAGTTTTATTTCTACTTATGAAATTCACTTTCTTGGAAAAAGAAATTCAAATTAAATATGAACACAAGGCAGAAAGTAAAAATCTGCCAAGATCCCATTACATAATACCCTACAGGTAGATCTCCGGGTATTTACAAGTGTTTATGTGTGTCAACTGAAAAATCCAAATTATACTTTTCAAGTTATTCACCTTTTTTCCCATTCAATAATGTATCACTGATAGCTCTCATTTTAGCAAATATGCTTTTATATCATCATTAACAGCTGTACGAGTGTGTACTGTATGTATGAATTGGAATTTACTTAATCAGTCTTCTAGTAATGGCCACTTAGGTGGTTTCTGATTTTTTATTATTTAAAACCACCGTGTGACAAACCTCCAGTCACAACGTATCTTTAAGACAATCAGTAAGAAAAAAAAAGAAAAAGGAAGGAAAAAATTTCTTACGAACTTCAGCTAACTATTGGTTAATATGCCCAGAAAGTTCTTTTTAAATTGGCTAATGACAAATTCTATATATTTGTGGTATACAGTATGTTTTGATATACGTATAATGTGGAATGACGAAATCAAACCATTACCTCATTATTACCTCGCATACTTATCTTTTTGTGGTGAGAACATTTAAGATCTACTCTCTCAGAAGTTTTCAAGTATACTAAATGTTATTATAAATTACAGTCACCCTGCTGTATGACAGCTCTCCAGAACTTACTCCTCCTGTCTAACCAGACTCTCTTCCCATCTCCCAGCCCCCTTTCCATTTCGGAAACTTTATATGGTGGGGCGGAAATTCATGTAAGTACTTGAGCTTTGTCACTCTAACCAAGAAAGTACACAACAGCAGACAGATTTTCCACAGCTCATTTGGTCTAATGATAAGGTGGCATGTAAAGTAGTTGCTTTGCTTAACGTTTATTTACAAGGGTTAAGAAACTTTTTACTTGTCAAAACCGATCAAGCATCATATAAGTAGAATAACTTAAGAAAAAGATGAGTGACATTAGCATTAAGCTAATGTCTCTTAATAAAAACTGTGCTTCTGTTCTCTATTTTGATCCACTCACAATCCAGAAACAAAAGTGGGGGCCAAGGCTGGGGTGGGGGAGAGAAGGGAAGAGGGGGAGAGGGAGAGGAGGAGGGGGGACGGGGAGCAGGGAGAGGGAGGGAGGGAGGGAGGGGGAGAGAGAGAGAGACATGAGCCCGGAGGGCAGTTCGGGGTAGGTGAAGGGAGGAAGGGAAAGAGATGTCACATGATCAGATGACAGATGCTGAATCCTGGAAGACAATTCATTGTCATTTGCTTCGGTGCATTAGTTGAGGAAAGAAGAACTGAGTATTAGGGAAGTGAACCACAACAATTCTGAGTCATTTTCTTGAAAAAAGTAAATATAACAAAGGTGCTTTTAAAGGGCATGTTCATTCCTGTCTAACCTATAGATAATCTGGCACTCCTGCAGTCCATGCTTTTCAAGTAAGCAACCAAACAATCTTATAGTAAAGTACACAAGACGTGCTTAGAACACTGCCAAGCACAGCAGAGAGAAAAACTACAAACATGACCCTGTGCACTCAATTAGCTTATAATTTATTTGGGAAATGGAACAGACCATTCAAGAATAAATAAGAGAGTAGAGTGTACTATGAACATGGAACTATGTGGTATGACCTAGATTAGAAGTGCGGACTACATGAAACCCTAAAGCTTTCAATTATTTTCTTTTCTGCATAGCTACAGGAGAAGTCGCATAATTTTTAAGGCTGAATTGATACTTTACAGATGAATACGGTTTTTCATGGAAAAAAAAAAAAAAAACCTCTCATTTCTTTATTTTAAAGTAAGGTGTAACATATCAAATTTATAGAGCCCTTAAAATATTGCAACTGAAGACTAGAAATTCTCCAGTGTGTTTTTTAGCCTTGCTGCATTTATCTGCCTGTAGACACTGGCTGAACCTGCCCCAGACGCCATAATGCACTCCAGCAGAGAAGTGGATCTGAACGTTCCCACCCACAGTTCAGAGCTGGGTGCTGAAGCCCTGGATGAAGGAAACAGTCATAGAAAATGTTCTCTCCAGCCCTTTGAACTAAGGCGCCTGGTTCCTTTGGTCTTTATTCTCTTACCACAAACTTGAGATTCAGACTGATGAAAAAGGACAAGGGTTCCCAGTGGAAACAAATACTTAACAAAAGTATTATTAGTGAAACCAAATAACTGCTTTCTATTTAAGTGTGAAAATGACACTGATATAAAGAGAAAAGAACCAAAGACCGTTGCAGGGAAATAAGCTTCTAGTCATGAGAAAGAAGTTATAGAAGTATATTATCAATTGATAATTTCGCCACTGATTAAAAAAAATTTAAACCACTATTAAAAGACAATGAATTTGGAGTAGGGTGGGGAATGAGAAATCAAGGTTCAATAAGCCTTAATTTTTATGAAATCTTTATAGATTAAGCATTTTCTTACTTTTGTGTAATTTTAAGATTGTGTAAGACATAGCAGTAAGAACTCGTTCTCCTTCAAAGATGTAGATATCCCATATTCTGAGGTTTAGTGTAAAGGGAGTCTATAATTAAAAGCAAAACAAAACAAAACAAAAATAAGGTTAACAGTTTCCCCTCATTTTGTATTTATAATTTTATGATTGAGTTTTGTAAATAAATACTTACACGATCAAGGAAACACTGAAAAAACCATTTCATTGTGTAAAAACTTGTGTAGATTTCTTGAGAATCCTGAAAAACCAAAGAGCTCACAATTTCTGGATTGTAGCAAACTAATTTTAACAAAATAACACTAAGTTAGGAAGGCTGTTGGATGCAGCAATCAAAGCTAAACACATTTACTTCTCAAAATCACTCCAAGAATAAATTCCTCTTATCACAGGACTGCAACACAACACTTAGATTCTCTTTAATATATTTTAGAGTGAGCTTTCTTTGCTTTACTAAACCACTGTGCTCTATAATAAGGCATATATATAGATCACTAACAACAAGTTTCTACGACCCTGAAAAAATACTTTCTGTACAATGAAAAAAACCTTCCAAACAACAATATATCACATTGTTTGTATTATCAGCTTCAAAGAAGTTCGAATCCCTTGCTTAGAATTGTGATGGCCTATCAATATTAAATTTTACAAATCTAATGTTCTGTAAACAACTGGGAATTACAACTGAATAGTAAATGAATGGAAGTTACCATAAATTAATAAGGTAATTAGGACCAAAGACAATTTAACTATCCCAGACCAGCTTTTTTCTTGGGGTAGGTGGGTGTACGTCAGTGTCACATCTACTTACCAAGTGTTGCTTAAGCTTGGACAAAAATTTATTCAGTATTTTTTCATGATGTTCTTGAAACCTCAAGAGTTTAGGAAAACCTTGGACAAAAAAGCCTAGAATGCAAACATAAAAATAACACTTCATAAACAATACCAACAAAACCCTCCAATCTTAAAATGCAACGTATTTCTTTCATTTTAACTGTCAAAAATAAAAAGAAGCATCCAGTAGTTACTAAAATAGTTTTCTCCTAGCCCAGGAAATACTGTGTACAATCTTTGGGTAATAAAACTTTGAGCTAGGATTTGTGTGCTAAAGACCTCCTATAACTTTGTAATTTTGAATTTAAAGGGAAACAACAACAACAAAAGACACTGAAGCCATTTATCAAGATTATCTATTCTTTTAAGACACTGGGCCATATCCTAAATGCATACATTTTTTAAAGGTTACTCTACCCCTGACTAGTTATCATTTTGTTTTATTCTTAATACATTAAATAATAATTTATTACTTTTTTCAGGCTTATGCTAAGAATTTTGTTAGTATAATGTTTCCAAAGTTTTAAATCACTTTTTAATCCTTTCCTATAAAAGCTATATTTAACATATGCTAAAGAATATAGGAGCTAGATGATCAATGTTAAGTCAAAAATGGTATTTTATCCCAAGGAACTATACAATATAATCTATATCTAAAAGTAACATATTACAAATGGTAAGTTAGTATTAATTTTTAGTATTTAATTAATTGAACTTTACATCTATTTTTATTCAGGATATTCTATACAATTCATTAAAAAGAAAGTCTACTCAACAGACTTTATGATTCTTCTACATTAGGATTTTTCAACCTGAGTTCTATGCAACTTTGAAAGATGTTAACAGATGTTCTATGCTTTTGAAAAAGAAACCAGACGACACATTTATATGCTTCTTAGATATTCATTAGGCATTTTAGCTTATTAATGTTCTTGTCTTTTAGACTTAATGAAACTTGTTTTTCTTTCACTCAAGCCTCCCACATTTATTTGATCCTGGAGTCTGTTTTCCCCCACAGAACATCTGCTGTTCCAAAATCAAACCCTATTCCACCAAGAACCTGAGGCACACACTGGGCAGTGGTGCTTTACAATCTACTGGGCGGAATTATTTCTTCACTAGTTCTCAGTTTTCTAAGGTGTGTGTCAGAGTCTCCAGAGATGGAGATTCTATTCCTCCTTTAGTGATATTTTTCAGTGAAATGGTTTCATTTACAAAACTCTGTATCTATCAGTGCTGCTTTTATGGTCAATTTGATAGAAATGGAAGTTGAAAAAATGTCAAGGAAAGTCTGATTTGGAAAAGGCAATACAGTTCGGTAATAACTAGCTCAAGAATGTTGAGAAACCTAACAGTTCAGTTTCCAGTGATGTTCCAATCTCAGATTTCATATGTCAGCCTTAGCTTTGATTCCACACATTTATAAGTGAAACCACCTTCACACTGAAAATGCAAAGCACTGAGGCAACCTTTAGTTATAACATCTCATAGGCAGAGACATAGAAACAAGCATCTCTACGTTTAAACTTACCCTTAATAAAGAGCCAAAACGCATTCTAAGTGTAAATGTTAGGATAGTAGAATAAATACTGTTTTACAGATTAGCGACAAAACTACTGAAGGTAAGCTATCAAATAGGTTCAAAAGAAATGACCATTTCCTAAAATCGGACAGTCTTGCACATAATTACATACCACTTAAATCTGCATTCTATTGTACCTCAAGACAGCAGCAAAACCATCCCACAGGAAAACAAAATACAGACTGACAGGGAGCTTTCTCCAGGCTGCCTTTTGGAATGACACTGCCTCCAGGACGGCAACTCAATATAACAACACGTCTTACGTTTAGAGTCTATTTACCAGATGCAGTCACCATGCAGATGATATTTATTAAGTAATTGACAAGGAGCACTAGAGGAGAAAGACAAATGCAAACACACACATTCCCCACTCACTCTTCCACACATACACAATATCCTCACATGGTCAGACCACATAGTCAGAGTGTGAGATTTCACAAACAATGGGCTACAGAAAGTCACAATTTTGAAAATATTAAAACAGTACTTTAAACAGATGGCAGGTTCCCTACCATACAAAGCTTATTCACAAACTGAACTTGGAAGGTCCATTCTTAGAATAACCAGTGTTAAATTATTTAACTACACAACTAGTGTTTAAAACTGTTTAAATTTGATGTGAAAATAATTTTGCATTATCTGAACAAATGCCACTTTTATTTCCAAGACAAGCTGTGATCTAAGGGCAGGGTCCATGGCTCACTCCTGTTAATCCCAGTATTTTGGGAGGCTGAGGCAGGAGGATCACTTGAGCCCAGGAGACAGATCGGCCTAGTCAACATAAGAAGACCTCATCTCTACAAAAATTTTTTTAAATTATCCAGGCATAGTGGCACATGCCTGTGTGGTTCCAGATGCTAGAGAGGCTGAGGTGGAAGGATGGCTTGATCCCAGGAGGTCAAAGCTTCAGTGAGTCATGATCACACCACTGCACTCCAGCCTGGGTGACAGAGCAAGACCCTGTCTCAACAGTTGTGATCTAAACTCTCTGAAATAAAGTCTATTGCTTAATTTGACAAAAACAAGGAGAAAGTTATAAACAGTGTTAACTTGAAAACCAAAAAATCATGCAGGTTCTGAGGTACTAAATAATCGAGTGCCTAGAACCTGTTACCAGCCTTTTATTTAAAGTGGAACCAATTTTATGCGAAAAAACTAAAAACTACACTTGAAATATAAAACTACTTAATTATTACATTTCCTTCAAACATCTAACTGTCATTTCTCAATTACTGGGTTTTTTTTGACAAGGAGTTATACATCACAATATCCAGTCAATGGTAAACATTTCACTGAAATGATAATTTCATGACCATATAAAAGTTTTGATCAAAAGGCATCTTTTATTTATCCCAATAATATACTGTTCTGAAATTTCTCCAAACCTAAATTAGTTTCTTTTGACCAAGGACAAATAAGGAAAGAATTCTAAAATGCCAACTATATACTCTGGGGTAAAGACAAAGGCAAATAAATGTAAACACTTTAGAAAAGTTCAATAATGAGAAACGAAAAAGAAACTAGTAACAAATACTAATGAACTGAACGACTCCTGAGACATTAAATTTGTCATGCGTAGCTCTTGCAAGCATCTTTGGTTTTGTTTCAATCTACCTTTTTCCCTAACTTGATTGTGTAGATAAAGCACAGGGTTTTCTTACCATGCATGGCATGTTTAGGGCCTGAGAAGAGTTTGACCAGGGCCCAGAAGGCATCTTCCTCGTTCATGTACATGAGGAGTAAAGCTGTGATCTGGCTCATCCCCTGACAATACCCGACTTCCTGGGGAGCAAAGGGGAACAGAGAAGCTGGGGAGTTTAGTCTAATCACACGCATACGTACAGAAAAAAAGCTACTCTATAAAAACCAGAACATGCCTACACACATTTAATGATCCATTCTAGAGACAAATACTATACTCTTCACTCTTCACAGTGTTATGCCACCTAAGAGAATAAAATTGTGCTCAAACGTAAATGTACAGGTACAGACAAACTCTAAATCGCTACTACCTATTTTTATTGGCCTCTGTTCAATACTGTTATACTTTCTTTAGTAAGTGTTAGTATTTATTTCACTTTATGTATGATTCTTAGCTCACCATTCCTCCTCTTTGCTCAAATGCTGGCAAAGCTTCTCTTCCTACAATACCCAGTTTGCCGTCTTATCTCCTGTAGATTTCTGAACCCGTAATAAGCAGACACATTTTGGGATTCCTCATGCAAAGTCTATGCCTCCTCTCTAAGAAATACCCACTCTCCCCATCGTCCCTGCTTATGATGTGGCCTTAGGGATTCATGTTTGTGACACAGGAACCACAGCAAATGGACCAGTAGAGGACATGTGACCCTTGGGGAACAGGTAGTTGGTTGCACTGACTCATCAGACACTCTCTAGGAAATGTGAACAAAGCCTGAGAGACTGTAATCAGATGTCGGGATGTACTTGGGACAGAATGGTCACACTGAGTCTGTAGGTGCAATCTGAACCATGGAATAACTGGCCAGGAGGTGAAGGAAGCAATCTGGAGAGAGAAACTGGACTAAACAGGTCACAGAGATCATCTGAGATATAGAGCGGCCCCCAGAGTGGGAGAGATGGAAGGTGTAGCTTTCCTGCTCATGGGACATTTCCCACCTTCCAGCTCCAATTCCTGTGAGGCCCAACCTTTATGAGATTTCCCTTTAATAACCCCTTTTTAACTGTTCCTAGTTTGAGTGAATTTCTGTTCTAATAATTTAAAAGTTTTAACTACAATAGAAATTATACATCCCAAGGTTCAAAGGTGGTCCTCCCTGGGACCTAGTCAGCAAATATTCATTTAACACCCACATTAGGTCCAACACGAATTAATCTATCCAAGATTATCTTTTCCCCCAATAATGCCGAATGCCTTAAGAAGTGCATGTCTATTACCAAAGAGTTGGCCTTCTCCTAGGGATAGCCAGTAAGGGCATAAATTATCTTGTTTGGACCTCATCTAACAGACAAATGTAACTGTGAAAGGTAACCTCCCAGGAGCAAAGAGAGTTACACAAAGTCAAGAAAAATCAACCAAGCCACCCCCACTTCCTGTCCTTCTACCCTGCATATCTGCTTAAAAATAAAAACAAAACAACACAAAACATTACAAAGCAAAACAATACAGAGGAAGAGAGAAAAGGTGAGACTCAGTGGCATACTGTAGTCGTATCTAGGTTTTTTCCACTTCAGAATCAACTCTACTCTAAGGCCCCAGGGTTATCACAGTGTTTCAGCTTAAAAACATCCACAGAGCTAAAGAGACTGTGAAGACCACCTAGCTCCGAGATGCAAAAATGCGCCCAGAGGGCCCTGTTAGGTAGGAAGTGCCTTGGAATAAAACTCAAAGGCCTTGAGTGGGTAGGCTCCAACTTACCGTATTATAAATAGAATATGCAGCAAGAACATGGAATAAGGACTGTTGCCTAGAGAAAAAAAAATTACATTAAAAACAATTTAGTAATTTCACATATTTTAAAAATTAGAAACTTAAAAAAAAAAAGGCTGACTGAAAACAGATAATACAGATAAAATTACTAATGTAATAAATTACCCCAGGCTCAAATTCCAACAATACTCTAAAAAGTCTAAATTCAGGACTAGATAATATTCATCCTCAAAGAATTTATACCAAGAAAACACAAAAGACTTCAAAATTCCTTAAATTTGTTGCCCTTTTTTGCTAATCTATCTGAGATCCTTGTGATAGAAGCAGCAGGCTTGATAGAATGGTGGATGGCCTTCTGAAGGCTCAGTGACATTGCCAGTGAGGTACAATACCCTGCAGGGCTGGGTAATGTTCTTGAGATGCTGAATATGCTCCAAATCAGGCTCTAATACAAGGTCCTGTTTTTCCCACAGACAGGACTCGGGGATCCAAGATTCAAAGGCTGGAAGTAGGAGTGGCTCCACTCACCATTCTCTCTAGAGATCTACTAGCAAAGCGTTTGCTTCTTGCCACTGCAACCTTGGGTTCTGTTGGTCTAGAGATCTTAGTTCCAAAAGGAAGAATGCTTCCACCATGAGACATAACTGTGATTTCATTGACCTGGAAGCTGAAACTGCCACCCAACCACTTTGGGCTCCTTATACCTCTGAACCAACAAGCAACAGAAATGGTTGTGCTGGCTGGAGGGATTAACCTGATTATTAAGGGGAACATGGGTTGCTATAACACCACAGACACAAGAAGGAGTACCATCTGGAATGCAAGAGAATTGGGGCATCTCTTACTACTATTACTGAACCCTGTGATGAAAATCAACGGAAAACTTCCACTTCAGGCAGTACTGCTAGGTCCAGATTTTTAGAGGAAGGTTTGAGTCACCCCTCGAGGTAAAGAACCACAACCATCTGAGGTGCTTGCTGAGGGCAGTGGAAGGGGGCATTATAAATACTGCCTGTGACCACATGATCACAGAAATGATTGCCACAACTGTTACGGTATTTCTTCCTTATTTTGGTATAAGTATGCTTGTATATATACCAACAAACATTTTCTTCTTCCCTCTCTTTTCCGTTATCATCTAATGTAAGATGTCTTAAAAACAGTCAACTGTGTACCACAGTGTGTAAGTCACAGGATGTTAAAGCCAAAGTGTGATCATCTGCCAAGGACTTGGCATCATCATTTCAGTTGTGGGCAGAATAGCTGTATCATGTTATGTGGAAAGATGACTTGGTTACTACCTTATTTGGAAATTAAGAATGGCTTAAGGTGGTGTGCGTGAGTGCCAAGTTGACAAGGCTGGACTGCAGTGGTTGGCTTTGGGTGCCAACTAAACAACAATCCCCAGATACCCAAAAACACGGATCTAGGTGTCACTGGAAAGGTATTTTGTAGACGGATAAAAATCCATAATCTGTTAACTTTAAGTAGGACAGATTATCCTAGAAGATCTGGGCAGGCCTCATTTCATCCGTGGAAAGGATTAAGAGCAGCTTTGAGGCTTCCCTGAAGAAGAAACTCTGCCTGTGGCCAGCAGCTTCTCAGCTCATGCCCGAGACCCAGGCTGTCCTTTATCCTGATGGCCTGCCCTGTAGATTTTGGCCTTGCCTAATCAGCCCCGATAACTGGAGAAGCCAATACTCTGAAATGTCCTAATATGTATCTCCTATTGGTTTCTGTTTTCTGTTGACTCTCTGATGTAGAGATCAGCAAACTACTTTTCATTTATAAGTTGTCATAGCAATGATATATCAATTCATTAATTTCTCACTTCATTTCCCTTTTTTTTAAAGTTTTATTTATGTGTGGGGTCAAGGTTATAGAGACATATTTAACGCTGACAAAGTTTTTACGCACTCATTCTTCTATGACTTCTAATAAAAATATCCACTATATTTCTAAGAATTCCCAGATCATAAAATGATTCTTGGCCGGGCGCGGTGGCTCAAGCCTGTAATCCCAGCACTTTGGGAGGCCGAGACGGGTGGATCACGAGGTCGAGAGATCGAGACCATCCTGGTCAACATGGTGAAACCCTGTCTCTACTAAAAATACAAAAAAAAAAAAATTAGCTGGGCACGGTGGTGCGTGCCTGTAATCCCAGCTACTCAGGAGGCTGAGGCAGGAGAATTGCCTGAACCCAGGAGGTGGAGGTTGCAGTGAGCCGAGATCGCGCCATTGCACTCCAGCCTGGGTAACAAGAGCGAAACTCCGTCTCAAAAAAAAAAAAAAAAAAAGATTCTTTACCAATTTTATAGCACCTGCTATTGTCAAAGGTTAAAAAATTTAAGTTAAATTAGATGCTAAGTTTCACACAACATAGATGCAAATGATCTGCAAAAGCTTAAACCTTTAGGACCTAAATGGAAATGACAGTCTATAAAGGCATTCTAAACACTTACATTTTAAGTTAATAAAGACTACGTATAAATGCGATTAACATTTCATAATATTAAACTTTACTTACTTAACACCGTATCTGTCTCTAAACATAATGTGGTCCCGAAATGTGCGGTTGACATCCAGGTCTATTTGTCTGATGTCAGGTGAACAGCCCCGTGCTCTGTGTTTTAATTTCTGAAGACAAAAAGAAGAAAGAGAACAGATTTTTATGGAAATCAGATGTTGAAATATCTATGACAAATAGTAAAATAATTCTCATTAAAAAGTTTTTGGTTTAAAAAAAAGTATTCAATGGTTGAAAAATCAAAACACTATATATATAAAGATACACAAAAGGCACTTTCCTTCCTCTCCATTCCCCCATTTCTCCTACCCCCTGCCTCTCCCTCTTCCCCTACCTTCCTTCCCTCTCATCCTATCTAGCTAGTTAGATTTTAATTTAGGATACAGAACTTTCCAGAGTCTGCATTACTAAACTATGTGAAAGCTCTTCATGGCTGAGCCATGCAGTCTACTATGATTTCTTGTTTCTTTCCAGGATGGTGCTTTTGTTTTTCTTGAAGCTAATCACTGCCATGTTTCTTGGTTTGCTTCGATTCCTACATGCTCGTAGTGAATTCAATCCCAAGCTCACTATAAATTGTATCATCTCCTCAGGTGATGTTCCAATAGAATAGTGTTCCACCAACTTCGTCTTGGAGACCTCTCACCCAGAGCTGTCTGCCCTGCTCCTGCCTGTGCAGCCTGACTTCTGGGCCAACTGCACAGCTCAGGTCTTGGAGTCTCCCCTTCTCCACCTGCTGGGGTTCCCTTTGGTTTTCTCCCATGTTGGACCCCCTGTTTCCTGGTCTCCTCTCTTTTTTCTTGGGTTCTTCCCTTGCTCTGCAGGAACACATTCTTTAGTAGCTCCTCTGAAAGGCTGTATGGAAGATAAGGTTTTTGAAAATTTGAGTATCTGGTAATTCTACCCTCTCATTTAACTGTTTGGCTGCTTTAGAATTCTAAGTTGGAAAATATTATGCTCAAAAGGCATAGCACTGTCTTCTCGATTCCAGTGCTGCTATTCTAATTTGTTTCTTTATGTGCAATCTGCTTTTTCTCTCTAGAAGCTTGTAGGAGTTTCTCTCTCCAAGTTTTGAAACTACATTTCAGTACTGGGTTTGGATCTATTTTTACCTACAGGGTTGGGCACTTAGTGAACCCTTTCAATCTATAAACTCCTACCCACATCTCTGAGCTCTCAGACATCTTCGACAATTCATCTGTCAATTTCTTCATCTTCTGCTCCCTCCATTCCCATTTTCCTTTTCTGAAACTCTTTTTATTACAGTCTGGGATCTCCTAGGCTGTCATTTAATTTTCTTTTATTTATTTTTTTGTATTATTTTCCATCTCTTTGCCTTTATAATTGACATTCTGGGAATTTCCTCAATTGTTATTTTTCAGTTAAGTTTTTCATTTCTAGTACTTTTTATATTCATAAGTTCTGTTGTTTTTGAATGTTCCTTTTTACAGTATTCTATACTTGTTTGATGGATGCCATGTCTATTTTTATTTCTCTGAAGATATTAAAATCCGTCTTTTAGATTCGCTTCTTTATGCTATAATCTGTTTCTTACAAGTTGCTTTCTTCCATTTGCTGCTAAGGCTTGTCTTTCATGTTAGCTCCCTTCTTCAAATCAATAGTGATACTTCCTATTCTGCTTTTATTTGCAAGTGGGACACTAAAAAGCTGCATGCCCGGGGAGGCTTCCTGACTGTGTTCCTGCTTGTGGAGGGATCTGGCCAGGCAGTTGGACTGGGGTTCCCTGAAGTCAGTACCTTTGGGTTTATTTTCTTATGCTGATCACATCCCCCAGAGAAGGCTCTTCCAATCTTCTGTCGGGAAGAGAAGCACCTGGCTGCCAGTGATCTGGGAGGTGAGCTGAGGAAAAAGGCTGGACCATTCAAAATTTAACATATTCAACTCCTCTGCTTTCATGATAGCAGCTCACCCTCAGCAAGGTCTGCGTTTTCTCTAGTGCAGACGCCCTCTGTTGCTTCTTCGCCAAATAACAAACTTCTAGTCTTGGGCCAGCACTGAGGAGCCTGAGGAGCCTAAGGAGCTCTAACTGCTTCTGAAACAAACTTTCCACCACTTCTGTGTTTAGCTTCACCTCCACTTCCAGAGGTACCTGCAGTTAGCAATTACCAAGCCTTATGGAGATTCTGAGCTATTAATCAGGTTGCTTCTCCAATTCCCAACGCCGGCCTAGGATTTAGCTTTCTCTAGTTTGCTAAGTTTACTCAATGTCTGTCTGCATTCTGGTTTTCCAAAACTGGTAGCTGTTACCGTATCTCCCACTTTCTCATTTCTTTGGGTTTGCCTTTTTATAATAAAAACTCTGCTGTCAATTCAGAGGCATTTCAAGGGAAAGGGATCTGAATGAGGTTTAATCTCCCATAATTAAAGAGATGGGAGATTAAAATTTAACCATGTTTAATATAAATAAGAATTTATATACATATGTTATATTGACCCATTTACCATGTACTGGTAATGTAAACTTCTGCTTATATCAATTCCAATAAATATATATAAAAACATATCTGCTCCTGACTTCAGCTAAAAGTGGAAAGAAGGCTATCTGGGCATGTCTAGAATAAGTATGTGTTTATTAAGCATTTTAAGAATCTGTGTATTTTTGTGTATGGAAGCTCAGAGAAGGGTGCTTCTGTAGCTTTTTAAAACAGGAAGAGCAGCCACAGTATGTTTCAGAATTCTCAAGACAGAGGAAGACACGTATAGTATTATATTAGAATCATATGACCACTAAAATATTATCATATATTATTTCTGAAAAAGGTGGTTCAGAAGATATGAAAACAGCTTGAAAATAAATCTGTACATATTTGTTCTCTTCCTTTTTTTTTTTTAAAGATAATGGGCAAGTAAAGAGGTTTCAATTAATGTCAAAACACAAGAAGAAAATGTTTGACAAGACGTGATTAAAAAAAAAATGCCTTAAAATAAAAGTTAACAGGAAGGCAGAAAAGACCCAAACACATCTATAATATCGGTTCCTCCAGAGGACAAGAAAATCCATCATAAAAAAGGCTTCATGACACTAGAACAGCCCAGGTAAATATGTAAAAAAAATAGGTCAGAAATATTATTTCTGTGTTAAAACGTTTACAAAGTAATGCAGGAATCAAACGCATTTTTCGCTCCTGAATGAATGAAATGAGGTAAACAGTTTCTACAGTTACCTCTGAGATTAGATGGGTTGAGATCCACGCGTGTCGAAGTAACGTAAAAATAAACATTTTATTTTAAAAAATGGGATCGAGTGAGCACATAAACCTGAGGGCAGAAGTACAGTGGGAAGCATGTAGATAAACAATGAGCACTGTCATTGTGAGTCTGGCCTACAAGATTACTAGGCCACACTAAGGCTGTGGATGAGGCTGTTTTCCACTATGGTCGATCCCACCATCTGTAAGGTACACTGCGAGATGGAAGAGAGAAAAATAAAAATGAGATGAAGGTAAAAGAAGAGAGGAAGACATATTAGGTGAGAGCAGCCAAGACAGCCTGGAATGTAAATCCTGCCCCTGCTACTTGGTAACCCTGGGGTGAAAACTTACTTAGCCTCACTAAGCTCAGTTTCTTCATCTGTAAGATAAATACACTAACGATGACGAAACCTGCATCTTGGCATTGCTGCATGAATTAAATGGGGTAATTCCCAGGGAGCACTTAGACATCAAAGTACTCAAATAATGTCAGCTCTCCTCATGTTAACGTAGATACTTTGTTTTTAAAATACAGCAGTATGAAGCTTCAAGTTAAAACTAATCAGTTCCAAATAGGAGGGAGGAGATCGGGAAGGTCTTTGCAATGTTCTTTGAAATTTCCCAATCTTTTTCCTTCCTGTGGGAAACAAAGCCCCACCAAGACACCTCCTACACCATGACATCTTCCTGGACCATAAAGGGGATTTCTTCTCTGACCCTCTTGTCAACTCAGCCAAGTTTTTCGTTCTCCTGCTTGTAGAATATTTATCACATACCATTATTAAATATTTCTATGCAATCATGTCTCCTCCAACCTAGAAGAAAACATTCTTGACACTGTACCTATTCTGTTTGGAAAACTCTGCCCCTACCGCAAAAGCTCTCTCTCTCTTTCCCTCCCCCACAAAGAGGCTCCCTTATCTCTCACTTTACATACCGGCCCTAGCCCTCCCTCCGCCCAGCTTCCCGCCCAGCAGTTCAAACTGACCAACAGTGGCCCACCACCTCGGCTTTTGGCTTCCCCACCCCCAGCCCTTCAGCCCCCTATAAAACAACCCTGCCCCTCTGAGCGGCGCGGCCATTCTCCTCTTCCTCCCGGCTGGTCCACCCGAAGGCTCTTTCCTCTCAATAAAGCCTGAACTTAAGGAATTTCCTCTAGCCTGCGGTCCGGTTTTTTCCGAACGAGCTCAGTCTTCCCGCAGAGGGTAGGTCGGACATATTCATCTTCATACATTCTTCAGCAGCACCCAGGGAGCTTCAGGGTGACAAGAAAAGATAAAGAGGCCACCACGGGAACTTGAAGGACTGAATGCTCATAATATGCTGGGTTCAAATAATTCCACCCATCTGAGAAAAGTCTCCGCAGATTAAGAGAAGGTCATAGTTTTATTCCTACTGAAGTTCTAGTTCGTGGTGGATATGTGGAGAGCAATGTATACCACTTTGTAGAGAGAGAAAGAGTGGATGAGAAAAGAAAAAAACGTTGACTAAATATTGATACTGGGGTAAACTCAAATAGTAAAAATAATATTGGTGACAGTGTTGAAAATTACAGGTTTGAAGACACTGGCTGGTAAGTTATTTCTTTTTTTGTAGCTGCTGTCAGTTTTTATTAAATGGTTGTCTTGTATTAACTGGCCATCTGATCATTTTATTCTATAGAGAAAAAGTCTAAAATATAACTGAAAACTAGACTCCTATTAGCAGGCAAGCTGGGTTGAACAGTGTCTCTCCAAAATTCATGTCCACCAAGAACCTATGAATGTGACCTCAGCTGGAAATAGGGCCTCTGATGAGGTAAACAAGTTAAGATGAGGTCATACTGGATGAGGGTGGACCCTACATGCAATAACTATGAACTCCATGAGGAAAGACAGAGACACACAGACATGGGAGGGAAGGTAGCCAAGTGATAAGGAAGGCAGGGATGGAGCCATGCAGCTGAGCCTCACTAAGAATGGCAGGTCACCACCGGAGGCTGAAAGAGGCCAGGAAGGATGCCTTCCTAGAGCGCTGAGAGAAAAGCTTGTCTTACTGACACCGTAATTTCAGCCTTCTGTCCTTAACCACTGTGAAAGAGACATTTCTGTTGTTTTAAGCCACTTAGTGGTGCTTGGTTACAGTAGCGCGAGGAAATGAATACAGTGTGTAAATAAAGTGCTTTTTACTTTCATTATTTAAACAAATACTAACAGAGCACCTACTGTACGCTAGGCACAGGGTACTAGGTGCTGGGTTGTTTTTCATATTGTGTTCTCTCAGACATCATTTTGAACACTGACTGTAAAACTATGACACTAAGAGCAAATAGCTAATCACCACTCTAAAATAATTTGGAATTCTAAAATCCTAAAATAGATATTCTGTGTAGGGTCTAAACAGCTAAATTTAAAACGAATAACTCATTATATTATCCAGTACGTATCACTTTTCATCTGGATGAAATTTTACCTGAATGTGCCTGCGCGCACACGCAGACATACACACACACAAAAGAAAAAAATCAAAAGAGCACCAAGGCATCTTTTAGAATAGGCTTTAGGTTGAAACCATAAATAATTTTTATTTCTACATACAGGATCATGTCATCCACAAACAAAGGTAATTTAACTTCCTCTCTTCCTATCCGAATACCCTTTATTTCCTTCTCTTATCTGATTGCCCTGGCCAGAACTTTCCAAGGGCATCCTTTGTCTTGTGCCAGTTTTCAAGAGAAATGCTTCCAGCTTTTGCCCATTCATTATGATGTTGGCTGTGGGTTTGTCGTACACAGCTCTTACTAATTTGAGGTATGTTCCTTCAATACCGAGTGTATTGAGAGTTTTTAACATGAAGGGATGTTGAAATTTATCGAAGGCCTTTTCTGCATCTATTGAGATAATCATGTGGTTTTTGCCTTTAGTTCTGTTTATGTGATGAATCACATCTACTGATTCACGTATGTTGAGCCAACCTTGCATCCCAGGGATGAAGCAAACTGAATTGTGGTAACTAAGCTTTTTGATGTGCTGCTGGATTTAGTTCGCCAGTGTTTCATTGTGTGTTTTTGCATCAATGTTCATCAAGGACATTGGCCTCAAGTGTTCTTTGCTGGTTGTATTTCTGCCAGATTTGTTATCAGGATGACGCTGGCCTCACAGAATAAGTTAGGGAAGAACCCCTTCTTTTCCAATTTTTAAAAATAGTTTCAGTGGAAATGGTACCAGCTCTTCTTTGTACCTGTGGTAGAATTCAGCTGTGTATTCATCTGGTCCTGGGCTTTTATTGGTTGGTAGGCTAGTTATTATTATCTGAATTTTAGAACTCATTATTTTCCTATTCAGAGATTCAATTTCTTCCTGGTTCAGTCTTGGGAGGATGTATGTGTCCAAGAATATATCCATTTCTTCTAGATTTTCCAGTTTATGTGCGGAGAGGTGTTTACAATATTCTCTGATGGTTGTTTGTATTTCTGTGGGGTCAGTGGTGGTATCTTCCTTCTCATTTCTGATGGTGTTTATCTGATTCTTCTCTCTTTCCTTCTTTATTAGTCTAGCTAGTGGTCTATTTTATTAAATGTTACCAGCTCCTGATTCATTGATTTTTATGAAGAGTTTGTCTCTATCTCGTTCAGTTCAGCCTTGATCTTGATTATTTCTTGTCTTCTGCTAGCTTAGGGGCTTGTTTGCTCTTGGTTCTCTAGTTCTTTTAGCTGAGATGTTAGGTTGTCAGCTTGAGATCCCCCAAAGCTTCTTAAGCTGATAAGCAACTTCAACAAAGTCTCAGGATATAAAATCAATGTGCAAAAATCACTAGCATTCCTATACACCAAAACAGGCAAGCAGAGAGCCAAATCATGAATGAATTCCCATTCACAATTGTTACAAAAATAATAGAATACCTAGGAATGCAGCTAACAAGCAACTTAACGGCCTCTTCAAGAACTACAAACCACTGCTCAAAGAAATCAGAGAGGACACAAACAAATGGAGAAACATTTCATGCTCATGGATAAGAAGAATCAATATCGTGAAAATGGCCATACCACCTAAAGTAATTTATAGATTCAATGCTATTCCCATTAAATCACCATTGACATTCTAACAGAGTTAAAAAAAATTTTTTTTAAATTCATATGGAACAGCAGCAACAAAAAAGCCCCAAAAGCCAAGACAATCCTAAGGAAAAAGAACAAAGCTGGAGGCACCACACTACCTGACTTCAAACTATGCTACGAGACTATAGTAACCAAAATAGCATGGTACTGATATAAGAATAGACAGACACACAGACCAATGGAACAGAACAGAAAACTCAAAAATAAGACCACAGACCTACAACCATCTGTTCTTTGACAAACTTGACAAAAACAAGCAATGGGAAAAGGACTTCCTATTTAACAATGGTGCTGGGATAACTGGCTAGACATATACAGGAAATTGAAACTAGACCCCCTTCCTCATACCATATACAAAAGTTAACTCAGTCAGGCGTTAACTGTGCGTGGTGGCACGCACCTATAATCCCAGCTACTCGGGAGGCTGAGGCAGGAGAATTGCCTGAACTCAGCAGACAGAGGATGCAGTGAACTAAGATCATACCACTGCACTCCAGCTTGGTGACAGAGCAAGATTCTGCTCTCCGCCCCCCAAAAAATTACCTCAAGATGGATTAAAGACTTAAATGTAAACCCCAAACCATAAAAACCCAGAAGAAAATCTAGGCAATACCATTCAGGTCATAGGCACAAAGTTTTCATAATGAAAGCAACAAAAGCAAAAATTGTGAAATGGGATCTAATTAAACTAAAGCACTTCTGCACAGCAAAAGAAACTATCAACAGAGTGGACAGACAACCTACAGAATAGGAGACAATTTTTGCAATCTATCCATCTGATGAAAGTCTAATATCCAAAGTCTACAAGGAACTTAAACAAATTTACAAGAAAAAAAAAAATCCCATTAGAAAGTGGGCAAAGGACATGAACAGACACTTCTCAAAAGAAGGCATACAAGAGGTCAATAAACATGAAAAAGAGGTCAACACCACTGATCATTGGAGAAATGTAAATCAAAACTGTAAGATATGACCTTTAATGGTGATTATTCAAAAGTTAAAAAACAACTAAATGCCCATCAATGACAAACTGGATAAAGAAAATGTGGTACAAAGACATTATGGAATACTATGTAGTCATTAAAAAGGAACAAAATCATGTCCTTTGCAGGGACATTGACGGAGTTGGATGCCATTATCCTCAGTGAACTAACACAGGAACAGAAAACCAAATCCCACATGTTCTCACCTATGAGTGAGAGCTGAATGATGAGACTACATGGACACGAGGAGGAACAACACACAGCAGAGCCTGTAAGCGAGGGGAGGTGGTGGGAAGGAGAGCATCAGGAAGCATAGCTAATGGATGCCAAGGCTTAAAACCTAGGTGATGGGATTATCTATGCAGCAAACCACCATGGCACACATTTACCTATGTGACTAATCTTTACATCCTGCACATGTGTATCCCTGAACTTAAAGGTTTAAGAAAAAAAAAGTATTGACCCCCTCAAAAAAACAGCAATTTTAGGTTCGGAAAGGGTATAATTGTGAGATGACAAGGAGATACATTTAATGCATTACCTAACTCAAGAAAAAAAAGTATCACTCAGTCAAAAGCTTAACTTTTATTAATAAATAATAAAACCTAGAGATACCCTAAAAATCTTGAGGCAAAGTCATTTTTTGTGTGTGTGTGTGCTAGAAGAAAAAAACATACACAGCAGGTATGGTTAAACTGAATTCTGCTGCTGTTTCCCACAAACTCTCAAAGTGATTCCACAAATCTCTTCATTAACACGATATGGCAAAGAAGCAGCTATAATCAGGCGTGAGTCCATTTTCCCTGCAGCCATGTCCCAACATTGATCATTGAAGTACTTTAACTGATCACTTATGTATTTGAAAAGCAATTGTTACCTACTGATTGATATAGAAAGTAACATTTTTACTAAGTATCTGTTTAAAATTTAAGAAGTATTTTGCAATCAACAAAACAAGTAATAGGCCTCCAAAACCTCCAATGCAATATAATTTTAAGTAATCATATGAATATCTTATGCCACCCCGAATGATAAAAGAAATGGATTTTACTTTTTAATTTCAAAATAACAGGTTAGCTTTAGCTACTCACACTATACAGGTCTCTTGTTTCTTCTTTCATTTTAGGGATTTCAAGAAGGAGAGCCCAGACTTCACCTCTGAGCTGGAGTGGGATTCCTTTGTAAATTCGCCTATGAAACTTATTAAAAGAAAAAGAAACTAAAGGTTACAAACTGACAAAAACTTAGACTAGTCTCTACAGTCAATCTTGTTAATATTTGTTAGCATTGTATTTTCAGTATCCATGGCAATTAACTAATACATTTAAACATGGCACACTGAGATACTGTCATCTCTATTTTTAGAGATTCTAACAGGGAGACACAAAGAAGAGAATAAAAGAAGAAACTGTTAAAAATGCCCAATGCATTAGTATGTTCAGGCCATTACAGAAGTGTCCCTTAAGTGGCATAAAAGCAGTCAGTGCTCTTTTTAAAGGTGTGAACATCTGATTTACACATTCCCTGATGATATAATTAACTTGTTACACACTTTCTTCCTTTTATTCCACACACCTAAAAGATGCTCCAAACAGCAAAAAGGGTGCCTTGTCCCCAAAACGTCTTCATGGAATGTAGAGTGCTGTCTAACTCCTAATCTCTTTCCTACCACCTTCTCATCGGAAGATACCAAGCTTCTCCACATCTGATACCTCAGTTAATCCTATCGGCAATTTTCAGTGTTCTCTCTCTCAGACACTCGCATTTCCCTTCCCCTGCCCTTTCTCCTTCTTTTCTCTCCTCTTTTCAGTTCTTGCTACTTCTTCAGGAAAACTTTTTTCTTTTTCTTAAATGACACTGATGCTATCTGTTAAGACAAAACCAGCAATAAATCTCCATAAAGGAAAGACATCACTTTTGAATGAAATTAGGTATAAAATATCAGTATTATCAACTCCTCCATCCTTGAAAGTGCACTGCTATGGCTCTAAGAATCTTAAGATTCAACATACCTCTATCTTCTTGTAATTAATTTTTTTTTAATGGACATTGAAAGTTAAAAAATATCAGCTATTTGCCCCCAGAGCCAAAAATATGGTTAATTTTTAATCACTAATAAGTGAATTATACACATGAGAGTCTACATTATATATAGCAAATAAGGGGATTATTTTTATTGTCAATTTTAATATATAAACTAATTCTTTGTCATTTAAATTCTTTTTTTTTTTGGTGGTTAAAGCAAGTGTTTATTTTTTCTTTTTTTTGAAAGAAGAAAAGAAAGAGAAAAAAGGAGTGAAGGAGAGGAAGAAAGAGGAAGAAAAAGAGGGAGAGAAAACAGGAATATTGCTTTACTCTAAAAATGGGTATTAATAATGGCCGATCAATATTTTGTGTATTTAAAGTGGAGAATGTATATTTTGTGTATTTAAAGTGGAGAGCTCTATAAATATTTTATTAGGTTTACTTGTTCCGGATCTGAGTTCAAGTCCTGGTTGTCCTCATCAACTTTCTGTCTCATTGAGTCTAAATCTCTTTATGGGTCTTATGTATCTGGGTGTTAGGGTCATTAGCTCTTACTGTTGCATTGATCCTTTTACCACTATATCTTTGCTGCTTTGAAATCTATTTTATCAGATGCGAGAATTGCAACTCCCGCTTTTCATTTATTTATTTATTTATTTTTGCTCTCTATTTGGTTGGTAAGTCTTTCTCCATCCCTTTGTTTTGAGTCTTTGTGCATCTCTGGATGTGAAATGGGTCTGGATGTAGCATACTGTTAGGTTTTGGCTGTATTTTTTGATTGGGGCTTGTAATTAATTTTTTCCTCAAGTCTCATTATTCAAAATAACATAAAAACTATTATGGTCATCACAATGTTGTGCATAGTAACACTCTGAAACTTAAAAATAGATGTCCAAACAAGGAAATAATTAAATAAATTACAGCAGAAGCCCCTCAGGTCATAATTTCTCTTATTATCATAGTAATATATTTGAATGTTATGATTCAGAAAATAAGACGCCAGTTCTAATAACTGAAATATTGAAGAGCTATGATAACTAGCACACAAGGCTTTAACTTCTACTATTACACTACTTTGATTTTATTTATTTATTTTTTTTTTTTGAGACAGAATCTCGCTCTGTTGCCAGAGGTGAGTGCAGTGGCACAATCTCTGCTCACTGCAACCTTCACCTTCCAGGTTCAAGCAATTCTCCTGCCTCAGGCTTCCAAGTAGCTGGGATTACAGGCACACACTACAACGCTCAGCTAACTTCTGTATTTTTAGTAGAGACACGGTTTAACCATGTTGGCCAGGCTCATCTTGAACTCCTGACCCCCTGATCCACCCACCTCGGCCTCCCAAAGTGCTGGGATTATAGGCATGAGCCACTGTACCCGGCCACACTAGTTAGATCTTTTTAAAGCTTTAGTGACTAAGTCATAAGGCAGCCTTAAGAAACTTTGATCATGTGGTTGAAGGTGAGTGACAAAGTCGAACAACTTTCATTATAAAACTGAATACTGTCAAGTTGGTTCAGTTAAATAATGACTTACAACATGTTTTTTTCTTTTGGTATAAATATAGTATGCCTCAAATTTGAAATTTCAGTAGATAGCAACTACAGTCATCGAAATTATAATCCCATGCAATCACCTTAACTGGAGGAATATGTACAGAAAGGCTTCGTGTTGACTAAAAAACTAGACTTGCAACATTTCCCACATGCTCGACATTTACAACCCTTGACTGAAAACTGAGTGTGGTTAAAAATAAGTGAATTTCAGACTTGTTTTCCCAAAGGAAGTTTATGATCTATACCATTTCACAATTACAGTCAATTGTGATTTCAAAGTAATATCATCCTCAAAAAGTCACTTCAAATTATCTTCTAAATTCTAGAGTAAAGATGCTGCACAGCAGGCAGCTGATGTGAGTATCAGAAAGTGTAGAAATCAACGCAAATGTTAAAAGTAAAATTTTAATAGGAAAGCTGAATATGACTGACTTCGGAAGAGCCAAACGAGTAAAATAATGACATTTTTAATGAGTAACGTAAGAGCTCTGACACTTATTTCTTAAGCTACATTACTTGAAAAGCCTTCAGACATTATTTTATTCCTGTTGCTCAATCTTGGACTCAATAATTGTACATAAGTTACTGTCCATCATTCATCTTAAAGTTAAATCTAGATTTAGGGGAAAAAAATCCATCGATTTGCTGTGATTACATTAAAAAGTAGAAAAATTGGGGGTAGAAATAAAAAATTAATGGTCTCTGTACTAGGACAGAGCTAAAATTAAAAATTAGGTGCATATGGGAAAGGCTAAGAAACACTGATACAGTGTCATTATCATCACCCATGGCAACAATTAACCCAAACGTTTATTGAGCATTTACTCTCTACAAGAAACTATTTAACATCTGTTGGAAACCATTTAACAACTATTAAAATAAGAAACTACTTAACTAGTTAAACTGTTTTATTTTATCCCTTTCCTTAATGCTATTTATGGACATTTACCTCATTTAATGATACCAGCAACCCTGTAACTTTAATTATGCCAACAACTCGATTTTACCTATGTAGAAAGTGAATCACAAAGAGGTTAAATAACTTGTCCAAAAGCAAACACAAGATGGTATAAAAGATGCCTCATTTTACAGTAAAAAACAAAGACCATCTCCCTATGATCACGGCACATGGTTTTGCCTAAATGGACTTACTGAAATACATGGAATAGCAAACAGAAAAATATGAAGAAAGCCCCAAGAGCAGAAAGCACTAGAATAATGATAATATCAACTACACCAGAAACTTCAAAGGAATATAAAAAGGCTGTCTTTGGAATCCAGGCAATAGGAGGTGACAAAACAAAACATGTACACAAAAATCACATATAGTAGGAAAAGATTAAAAGACCCTAAAATAAAAATGTTTTAATTATGCTGGTTGTTTTACATGACAGACTAACTTATCACAGTTATACATCTCTTCACAAATTTTCAACCATCACAGGAATTTTAGAAACGTTATAAAACAAAGTAGGAATTACATCCAAGCATTGATGAAATGTGCTTATTCTCCATAACAGGAGGCCAGTTCACATTTGTTGACAATCCTTCAACTGATAAAGTAGCATTTCATCTTTTCTACAACAGTCTCATCATGTAGGCTCAGTGGGTGGTTTCCACTTAAAATGGAAGGAAACTAAGAACAGAAAAAAACTATCTGGCCTAGTCAAAAAGTTTCATCTTCTTATTACAAATTCAGGGACTTTCTGCCAAATCACACCGTCTTGTAAAAATTACAGCTTTATTAACGTGGCAGAATTTATCAGTAAAAAGTGATAGCTGGTTGTCCTCAAGCCCTAAATGAACATCATTCATACATTCTAAAATGATACTTGTAATAAATGCCTGCTTTGCGACCAATGCTTATGAGGTCCTGTAGCTACAAACATGAAAAAGATCTGTGTAACTCATAGTATAGTGGGAAGAGAAATACATAAGCAGCTAATTACACCTTACACAGAGAACCACTTATAATAAAATACAGTCACATACACCAACTGCTACCAGTGCTGAGCATCACACCCTGATGGAGGAGGTCATGGTAGAGACAGACTACCCAGGGAACCAGGACAGTAAAAGGAGAATGGTGGGCACCACACCATCTGGATCTGTGAGAGGAGTGACCAGGGAGTGGCTGGCCCTTCTACAAAAGGATACATACAATTCTAAGAGAGAACTAGAAAGCGGGTAGGGACAAAGTTGCTGGGGTGAGAGTGGCATGAACCTGCTGTGGTGGTCACTTCTTATGGGTCCAACACAGGGGCTGTCATCCTGAGCCTACCTTAGAGATAACAGAAGAAAGGAAGAACTAATCCTGTGTGAGAGGAAAGTATTTCCTTTAGAGAAAATGACCATAAACTCAAAACTGAATAGGAATGTGCCAGGAAGGGAAAGTGAGGGTGGGAGCAGGGATGTGGGTAATGATGCATCCAACAGTAATAACAACAATAGTTTAAAGAACACTTTCTGATTATGTATTATGAGCTGACACTATGCATGTGTTTCTAAATTAATTTATTCATTATAATATTACTGCATCCCTAAAGAGGTAAGTATTGTTATTAACATATGCATTTTACAAATGAAAAAAATTAAGATGTAGAAAGGTTAGGTAACCAGATCAAAAGAAACTGTGTTATAGGATCTCAAATTCAGTTAGTCTGAGTCTGACCTCAGAATCCATACTCTTAACAACCATAATAAATAACTTCTACATATTGAATTTTAACAATATTGCAAATTCTAATTTCAAGAGTATCACCTTTAAGATTCTTCTATGAATTTATTTCATAGATTCGATATATAAAATCTTTCAAAAGTCTGTAGTAGTCCCACAGAAACATTTAAAAAACAACTTAAAAAATTCAAACAACTGGGAGGCTGAGATGGGTCGATCACGAGGTCAAGAGATCAAGACCATCCTGGTCAACATGGTGAAACCCCGTCTCTACTCAAAATACAAAAAATTAGCTGGGCATGGTGGCGCGTGCCTGTAATCCCAGCTACTCAGCAGGCTGAGGAGGGAGAATTGCCTGAACCCAGGAGGCAGAGGTTGCAGTGAGCCGAGATCATGCCATTGCACTCCAGCCTGGGTAACAAGAGCGAAACTCCATCTCAGAAAAAAAAAAATTCAAACAAACGACTAATGTTTTTAGTATCTTTTTCTAAATCTTACTGTAGCAAACACTGATAAGTGTACAATCCACAACATTATGACTGCCAGTAAGTAAACTTCCCAGCCGGGGAAGTCTGGCTGAGTTTTGTGGGAGTGTGCACTGTGAAACAGAGACTCATTCGAGCTGCTTATGCCCCTTACTGCCTCTCCATTTTCTCTAATCATCCCTGCTCCACTGGCTCCTTTGTTTCTGCCTTCAAACAGCACCAGGTCTCCCAAATCTGCAACTAAAAAAGTTTTAAACCATCCATAAGGCCCTATATTGTGTTTTATAACTAAATTCTATTCCCAACAGACACCAAAAGGGAAAGCTGGCATAAACGACAGTACAGTTAAATGAGCTCTAGAGTCTGGGCATTCTTTGCTTGTTGCTAACAAGCTATGGGACCTTAAGAAATTTATTTTAAAGCAATATACCTCCATTTACCAGTCGGTAACAAAAAATAGTTAATACAGTCTGAAAGGTCCATTCAATTATTTTAGACAACAAAAAAACGTGTATCTGGAGAAGGTACTTTGCTACACCATAGCTTAGACACAGGTATATCATAACCAGTTAAATCATAATGGTCTTTACTTAACAAAGATCACTTCACTTACTAGACTGTATTTTTAAAATATAGGCTGGGCACAGTAGCTCATGCCTGTAATCTCAATGCTTTTTGGAGGCTGAGGCAGGAGAATCACTTGAGGCCAGGAATTTGAGACCAGCCTGGGCAGCATAGCAAGACCCCGTCTCTACCAAAAAAAAAATTTTTTAATTAGCGGGCATGGTGGTGCTTGCCTGTGGGTCCCAGTTACTTGGGAGGCCAAAGCAGGACAATCACTTAAGCCCAGGAGTTGCAAGCTGCAGAGAACTCTAACTGTGCGACTGCATCTCAGCCTGGGCAACAGAGTGAGACGCTGTCTCTCTAAAAACAAACAAACAGAAATTAACAATACAGTACTACTGTACATAGGGAGGCAGTCACTATGAGAACGGAGGCAAAAGGAACAACTTTAATGGAAATTGTTTTTTATTAAAGCTTTGGCTCTAAAAATCCAAATATTCTCTACCAGGGCTATATTTTTATTTCAAGTATTTTTAGAATTTCTCTGGATCACTACTATATAAGTAAGGAATCTGTGGAGAGAAAACATCCTTCTCCTTAAAAGATAAGAAATATGCTGTTTTTTTTTTTTTTTTTTACGTGAATACAATTTAAAACTAGGTGTGAACTGAAAGCAGTAATTCTTTTAGAAGGTTCATTTTGTTTCACACCAAATTGGACAATATATATCATCAAATGATTCTAGCATTATAGTTATGGGAGAGTGCTGCAAAATTATACTTCAAAGAAATGGCACTGCTAAAATCTCTCTTAATGGGAACTGCATTAGGCAGAGTTGCTGTCAGAATAATAGCCCAGTAGAACTGCTCATTTTTAGAGAGGCTTACATACTTTCATAGGCATATGTACACTAGAGAAGAACATAAAGCCATCTAATTCTACAAATATTTTATTAGAATGAATTTGAGATTAAAGCTTAGGTGCAATGCATTGAAATCAACCCTGTAATGACCACTCGAGCAATCTTCCCACAAAGATATAAGGTAAAGTAGTTGTCAAACGTAGGCCAATCTGAGACTGCATAATATTAAAGAAGAGAACAGATGTTGTAACTAAAAATCTACTTTGAACCCAGTTCTCTTCAGAACATCTGGAGTTCTGAACCTAATGCTAAGACAGTTAGTAAAAGCAACAATCCCAAATGAACTCACTCCTGGTGAAAATAATGTAAGAGCCTCACTAAGGATGTTTAGTATGCTCAAAAAGAAAAAGCTCATTAGATTGAAGACACCCAAGTCAGAAAGACTGCCATGGTTAAATCAATTTCATGTAATTTAAGATCCCTCTTAAAAATCCACACCACATATTAAAGACCAAATAATCCTAGAGTAAAGAAAGAAATCTTGCTTAACTTTGTTTAGCTCAGGTTTTCCCAACTTTATTTAACCAGAGAGCCCCTTTCTCATTTAATAATCAACAAGGCATACTGACTGCATATTCAGCACCTGACACTATTTTATGCTTTATATAAACTAACTTATTTAATCCTTACAGCAAGCCTAATGGGGTAGGTAGTACAGCAGAAAAAAGTTAAATGCCTTTCCCAAGGTCACATGGCTGGTAAGTGGCAGAGGCAGGGTTTGAACCCATGACAGTCTGCCTCTAGAATCTGCCTCGTCATCATCAGGCTATACTGCTTCAGAATATCTATTAGAGGCCAAGAAATTGATGATCCCTGGAATTCTTATTGGCAAATGTTAACATAAGGTAATTTGTATCTATACAAAAAGGGAAAAGAAAGGATTACACTGAAAAAAGTGTGAGGAAATGGACAAAAATCCCAACAGTTAACTCAGCTGTGTTTTGCTGTTAAGACTAAGAAAGATTTCTTTTTTCCTTTAAAATTTTTTTATTGTTCAGTCTTCCTTCAAGAAATTAATAGGCATAGTTAACATTTACTAAATGCTTATTCTATGTAAGGTACAATGCTAAGTACTTTACATGCATTAAATCATGAAATCTTCGTTCCTTTGAAGTGGGACGAAATGGGACACTGTTATCTCCATTCTGCAGATAAGGAAACTGAGACTTAGATGTCAGTGGTTCTCAAAGTATGGTCTATGAAAGCAAAACCATTTTCATAATTAAACTTGTTTTTTTTTTTACAGTGCTAACTTTTGCACTGATGATTTAAAAAAAAAAGCTATGGTGGTAAAACTACTGGCTCCTGGCACAAATCAAGGCAGCAGTCGTACTGCAGTGTGGCATCAGTGATTCCTCACTTGGTGTTTTAAAAAGTCAGTTTAACTTAAGAATGTCCTTGATGCAGGAGTAAAAAGTGTTGACTTTATTAAATATCTATCTTCGATGGAGGTCTTATTACCAAACCGAGTAGTGATGAAATGGGAAGTGCATACAGAGCTATGTGCAGCACAGCCTAGTGCAACAACTGTCTCAACAAAAAGCGCTTCAATGAGAAAACTGTTTGAATCATGAACATTTTCATAAAACACTGTTATTACCTGAAAGAATAACTGACTAAGCAGCTGTCACTCGAGCACTGAGTATCTGGCAGACATTTTCTCAAATTTATCTAAAGTGAAAGCCTGTCATTGAAGGAAGATAACTGATACAGTATTTATTGCCACTGGTAATATTTGACCTTTCAAGTAAAACTTACAACTCTGGAAAACGTCTACCACCAGGAGCTTGACATCTTCCCACTGTTTAAAGACTTTCCTGGTGACACTGGTGGTGATATTAATGTAGTATGTATTTTTCTCTAATTAATTTAGCACAAACTCAGTGCAATGCAGAAAGATTTAAGGGGAGGCTTGCTAGAAGTTTTTGAAAAAGGAGTTTGCTCCTGCTTTAGGGAATGCTTTCAGAGGCCAACTCTGTCTCTCTTTCTGAGCAGTATTACCCGTGGATATAAAGCCTGGAACTACTCCCGTGACTCTGACCTCAAAGGGAAGCCAACATCAAGATGGAGCTGACAGTGCAGAAGGCAAAGAAGAGATGAACGAAACTATGGCACAGGCAACTTAATTAAGCAGTGAATTAAATCACTCCTGAAACCCATCCTACCTTTGGACCATCTGATACAGACTCTTAAATGTTGAAACCAATTTGAATCAGGTATTACAATACTTACAATATAAAAACTCCTAATTTGAGGCATACTGCTAGATTAAACTAAAATTTCAAAAACAAATATGAATGTAATACTCTTATAATTAAAGAAAAACTTCTACTGGAAAAATCCACATTGAGTTGATATAGTTTCATATGGAAATAACATTATTTTAAATTACCTTTTCAGTGTTCTTGTATTTTTCCCATCCTTTCAGCATTTTCAGCCATTTGGTAGTTCTTTCAATTTCCAGGTGCTTTTGCTAAAATAAAATTGATATTCATTGTTACTGTTGTTCGTTTCTTTACTTAAAATTATAAAAAACTTCAAAGAAAATCCTGCTTAAAAAAAGGACTACTAAAAAAGGTTATGCTATATTAGGTAGCAGATACCCTATCTAACTTTTAAAAAGCTGGATAATAGCAGAACTGTATCAACAGCAGTCCATAGCTAAAGTTAAGATTAGCAGGAAATGCTCTGTCTAGGTAAAAAGATAAAGATATTACTTAAATTTTCCAAGACTTTCAAAGTAACCAAAAATCTTGTGTATTCTACAAGTTTAAACAAAATTTTAAAATATTTTGAAATATTTTAACAAAGCAACAAAAACACAACTTCAAAATTGAATTCTCTTTTCAATTTACTAAATTCTAGTATATTGATGTTTTTGGAAAGAGCTGGTTTTTTAAAGTAAAAGTGGCTGTTTATTTATTTATAGAAAGATTATAACTAGCCCTATGCTAGAGGAAATTATTAAAAGAATAATAAATAATAGTTGCTGCCCTAAGGAAATCTGACCAGGTGCTAACAACAACGGACAATGGGCACACTGCGCTGTGCACAGCACCAGTGCAGGCAGCAAGGCCATGGCAGAAGGGGCTGTCAAATCCACCTAGGCATGCCAGGGAAAATGAGCCCAAAATGAGGAAAAGGGAGATAATCAGGGTTTTCATCAAATGCAATGTGGGAAAGAATGTTCTAGGCAGCCATGAGAATGCATGTATTTCTGAGACAGCAGGGGCTGACAGCAGCTCCAAAGGGTTTACAAAAGCAGCAGGACACCAGGCTGCCAAATTTGGCAGAGGTCTCTGGCATGCCCACTAAAGTGACATGGGGGAGCAGGGCTGGGGAATGGGTGGGGAAAGTGAGAGGGAAAATGCTCGCTCCTTACTTCTTTGATTTCCAGGAGGAGGAATATTTTTTCCTAAGTACCTGCACCTATGAGTGTAGCACGTATTTGAATAAAAAGCAATGGAAATACAAGTCTACACAGAAGGAAAATCATTCTGAGGATACATTTTATGCTCAAAGATGCAAGCTCACTACAATCCCCTAACATAGGTGTGATCATCACCATTTTACAATGAGGAAACAGAGGCATAAAGGGCTTAAGAGACTTGCCCCAAGTCACCCCTCTTGTAAGTGGTAGAAGATGGATTCAAAGCCAGGCAGCCTGGCTCCAAGACGTACACTCTGAGCCACCACATCTCTGGCTCCCATCCTGTCCTCTGCTCTAGTTCAGGCAATCGTGGTTCCTGGATGGAAGCAGCAGCTCCTTACTGTCTGTGATCCAGCCTCAAACAGGCAGGCATTATGCTGGCAGATGGCATATATGCCTCACTACCAGTATTTTTAGATCTAAAAGAAGCATAAAATTCCAAAGAAAATCCTGAACTTAGGAACAGTATCTCACCAATGAGAATATTTTTAATCAAATTTCATTTTTAAGCATATTCTTAAAACTCTTAAATTACTTAAATCTTCTTAAAATTTTCGATGGGTTTCTCATAATAAAAGATGAACACTCATGAGCAAAAGCTATTCTGCTATAATTCACATTTTTCAAAAGGCTAAGCATATTCCTCATTAGATTATTAGTGATAAAATGTTGCAGATGGTTCCAGAAATATGTTTAATTTTAAAACTCAGTGGGGCACTGAAATCTAATTAATGTTTCTGCTAAATGTGACTTTAGAGAAGGCCAAGCCGTGAAAAATTAAGATTGATCTAAATGGCCATTTGGTATTTTCTGTTCTTCTGTACTTTCTCTCCTGACTTCTTCAAAGCATAATCCTTTTTCCTACCAACAGGAAAACACCAAATAATTTAAGCCAACCCAAGAGTATAATAACATACACTTTGCCAGGAACAACCCTGCTGAGATCTAGCAGGTCTCTTGCTATCTTTCATTTTTATGGCCATGAATTATCAATGAATCACTTTAGGAAGTAGTCATTTCTTTAAAGGCACACTTTCACATTCTAACGCTTATCATACATACAGATTATTTTAAATGCTACACATTCCCACACTGCGAGAACAAAACACATACACACACACACAATTTAAGAATCATTAAGTATGCTTTCTTTCCCTTATAGCACACGCGCGCACACACACACACACACACACACACACACACAGATATACCTTGGGAAGCTATAGGATCTTAGTATTATAATTTTAATCAGTAATTCAATCCAGTTTAAGTTTTAACTCCATAATGCTGTCAGTTCAACAATACCAAACTTCAATGCACATGAAAGTCTTCTTCCCCCACTCATGAATCTAAAATTATTTTTTTTGAGACGGAGTTTCGCTCTTGTTACCCAGGCTGGAGTGCAATGGCGCGATCTCGGCTCACCGCAACCTCTGCCCCCTGGGTTCAGGCAATTCTCCTGCCTCAGCCTCCTGAGTAGCTGGGATTACAGGCACGCGCCACCATGCCCAGCTAATTTTTTGTAATTTTTAGTAGAGATGGGGTTTCACCATGTTGACCAGGATGGTCTCGATCTGTTGACCTCGTGATCCACCCGCCTCGGCCTCCCAAAGTGCTGGGAATGAATCTAAAATTCAAAGATGAAATATATTTTCTCACTAAAGATACTGAAGCTACCTATTCTAGCAACTATTTTGAAGAAGTAACTGAAAACATACTCATATGTGACAAATGTGAACTTAAGTGCTCTAGAAAAATAAGCTAAGAAATGTCATTTTGCCATAGATGCAATCACACAGCAAGACAAAACTAGACTGTAACAGTGTATTAGAAACTCTACTTGAAGTTCAACAGAGCCTTTCAAGTTGACATACATGAAACCATTTTTCCAAAGCCGCTGCTAGAACGCTTCTTCCCTGACATGAACTGACAGTATCGCTGCCCACTAAGTCCTCCTTCTCTCACTTCCCAGCCCCGAATCACACTCTGCTTGGTCCAGGTTCTGTCACGCGCTTCCATCCTGTCCTCTGCCCTAGTTCGGGCAATCAGAGCTCCTGGGTGAAAGCAGAAGCTTCCTGCTGGGATCCCTGTCTTCACTCCAGCCTCCACACTGCTACCACAACTCTTTACACATGTCCCAGTTGAGAAGCCTTCTATGGCTACCCATTTTCCAGAAGTAAAGTTCAAATTTCTTAGCACAGCACACATAAGGGAGCAGCCTTTCAGAATGTGGCCCAATTCAACTTCCAGTTCTACCTCCTGCTACTTCTGTGATCCGGCCACCCTGAAATATCTGTCATTCCCACACGCGATGCATTTTCAGGCTTTGTGACAAATGTTTGCTATTTGTCTGCCTGTGATGTTTTCTCACCATCATTTGGTAAAATCCTATGCACCCTCTCAAGACCTAGGTCCAATGTCCAAGGCCTGGAACCTTTCCTAGTTCCCTCCATGTTCCAAGCAAAACCAGCTGTTCCCTTACCATGATATGGCATGCACTCAAGACCCAGATAACCTGGGTTCAAGTCCGAGTTCTGTCCCACACTGTTTCATGTGGAGCAAACGACTTAACCTTTCTGTGTCATCTACAAAATGAGAATCATTCTGATCACTGTTACAGCACCTAACACCTGTGCTCTAGCTGGCCTAAATGCCCACATTATATTATCGAAGTATGAACTCCTTGACTATAGAGACTGTATATAGTCATGTTTTTATCACCTAAAACAGTGGTTGTTACATAAGAAGAGTTCAACATTTAAAACTTAAACAGAATTTACATAAGAAAAAACAACTGAACACTATGAAGGAATTAATAACATTCTGTGGCCTCAAGGTGGAGAGGTGATAAGTAGAATAAATATGAACAGACAGACTGAAACCAGAACGTTATTTCTGATAGCAATTTGATCACTATAATATGGAAGTAACCAGAAGTTAATAATATCCCGTATGTGGCAGAATGGTGGAAATGGAATTATTCTATCACGTGGGTAACACTTCTCAAAGTGCTGCCAAAAGGCAGAGCTGCTGATGTTAGCAGCCCATAGGAAACTGATATTAAATAATTCTGTGGCTTCATACACAAACATCTTACTTCTCTCAATTTGTATCTTGAAGTATTGCAAACCTACAGAAAAGGTGACAGAATAGCACGTCACATACTTATAAATGCTTCATCAGATTCCTGGATTATTATCCTTTTGCCAGATTTCATTTATATTGTTGGGTTTTTAGGGGGAACTGATCATTAGAAAATCACAGCACGAACAGTTCATCCCTAAAGATTTCAACTATGTAACACCTAAGAACAAAAACATTCTCCTACATGATTACAGTACCATTGGGTACCATCCAAGAAATTTAAGACGAATTGTTACCTCAAAAATAGGCCATACACCAAATTCCCCACTTGCCCCAAGACTGTTCTTTATAGCTGGTTTTTTTCTGTGCTGTGGGCAACTCGGAATCCCATCATGCATCCTGCATTGCCTTTGCTGGCATGTCTCCGGCAGTGCCCTGGCCTTTGTCTTTGATGACACTGATGTTTTGAAGAGTCCAGGCCATACTATTTGGCTTTGTGTGATTGGCTCCTCTGGATTTCAGCAGGATTATCACCCAATGACGTTGTCTTTCCCACCACATCATATCAGATGCACATGATGCCAATCTGTATCACTATCAGTGATGATGCTACAGGTTCATCATTCAGTAAAGGTTAGTATTTGCCCAATTTTTCCATTAGTAGAGAAATTCCCTTTTGTAACTAATGAATAATCCATGTGATATGCTTTGAGACAGTGTGCAGATCATGTTCCTTAACAACTCTACCCAATGGTCTCATCATCCATTGATGGTCCGTGCCTGAATCAATGATAACTGTGATGGTGGCAAAATGGTGTGTGGAATCATTCCTTCTACATTATCAACTTTGGACATTAAAAAGGTTTTCTTTTCTAGCTCTGCCTCCTTTTAATATCACTAAAGTCTAAAGAATTATTTGATTCAATGTTTTATAATCCATTATCATCATTATTCTTTTTGAACTCCAAACTGTCCCCTGGGAGCTGGTTAGACTACCTCCCAACTGAGGAGCAATTTCTCCCCTTCACATGTGTCCTTGTGATATGCCATATTCATCTTTATCATTTCTTCATGTTCTGGTACAAAATGATTTGGGCCCAGCTTATACTCTCCCTATCCCAACCTAGAATCAGCCATCACTTTAAGAACCTGTGATTCCCTTCAGTGCAGAGGATGTTCAAAACTAAACTTGGGCACTACATGTGCTTCTCACCAATGAAAAGTTTAAAACTGTATAGAAGACCCAGACATAAGAAAATCCTACTTCTCTCAGAATATCAGAGCAACATACAGCCAAGGAAGATAATACAGAGGTCATCATCGCCACCTTACTCCCTTTGTCAGCTCTCCATTATCACTACTGGCTAAGAAAATGGTGCACTGCTGTATACTTTTCTTCCCTTGAGCTGTTTTCAGGGAAGGGCTAAACTTCTGTTTAAAGTGTATAATACTCTATTGTCTTAAGTGGATGTTGCCTCTAAGTCAAAACTGGCCTCTCCTAAGGGGCAAGGAAGGTGGAAGGATTAAAACTGGAACCAGTATCTTCTTTGTTGCCTCTCAACCTCCAGAGACCTAAGGCTATATTTTCAACCCTGTACAGGACCAGCTGAACAGCAAGTATTCAATAATGGTTTGTTGAATCATCTATACAGCTTTGTCTGCTTTCTGGTCCAAGGCCCTTCCAGCTATTAACATGGCTAATAATTCAGAAAGTAAAGGCTAGACACATACACAATGCATGGATGGATATTACATAGCCTTCTCTTGTAGAATAAGAAATCTTAGGTTTTGTTCAGATTCAAGTCTTCAGATGCTTTTATGGCTCTATTTGAACATTGGTGTGTATTGTGATATAATAACTATATGATTTCTGCCCGCAGTTCCCAGGCAGAGAAGGACTTGGAGGTCGTGGGAATCTCTAATTTATAGCCCCTCCCAGGTGATAACCTGGGGCTTTCAACTGGCTTCTGATGTGACAAGCAATCTTATGGAAGTGAGTTCTTAACCTGTCAAGTCTGTACCTACTCTGGTTAGTGTCGGAATTGAGTTAAATTATAGAAAATCCAGTTAATGTCAACTTGGGGAAAAACCAACACAGATCTTGGTAACCAGAAGTATTCTGTGCTGTGTCGACTATGAGAGTAGGAGAAACCATTTGGTTTTTCCCCTATCTTAAGGTTTTTCATTTCAGTTAGGACTCGTGAGTGAAGACAAAGCTGATGGGAGTCAGGCATACCTAGACCTCACCAGCAGAGGTCAGAAGACGACAAGAAGTACTGAAAGAAATGTGTGTTTTTCCAGAAAACCCTGGATTGGAAAGTCTATCAGTCATGTATCTTGAATAAGATTTCATATGATATTAAATTAAGATATATTTTTAAAGATATAAATAAGTTCCAATATTCTACACACCATGCAGAAGACTGCACTACATGAAGGGAGAGTGGAATCTATGAAAATTTATTGTTTTACATATCTGTTCCTCCTTATTAAAATCATCAATAAGCTCAAAGAAACAATATAATCCACTGTTAATTCTTTTCTCCACAGAGTAAATATAATGTTTGTTTATGTGCTTAAGTGCCTGTTTGGGAGACACCGAAGCACTTAGTAAACACCAACAGTAATCTTCTTAGGAGGGTACTGTATACTACTCTCCCTATTTTAAACGGAGAGCTGCCTTACATAAAATAATAGATTGGCAAAGCTGGAAGGAAAGCTATGATTACCTGACTATGCATTAGCGTACAAGTCTTCCTCGATGGAACCATAAGAGCGTGCTTCAAGTGTATGCTCTGTAAAGACTGCAGATCAGCAAGCCTACCATTTCTAGATTTTATTCCATTTAAAAAATGTCAAGTTTTAAAAATTAGTTTCCTGGAAATGGTAGAACGTGGGTACTAGACTAAGCAATCACCACAGAACACAAGAACTTAAACCAGAAGAACTTGGAGAAAATCTTGATAAACTAAGAGGCTTCCAGCTCTTAGACTGTTTTGCATGTGGCTAAGTTCTCATTCCACTTTAAAGAAATCAAAACTATAAAAGGCAGGTCATGCAATATGAGCGCAGTTGCCATACAAAAGGCCTTAGGGAAACCCAATCAACAGCCTCAGAATCCTGTCCCCATCCCCAAATTAAAGATTGACAAATGAATATAAATTATATCTTTTAAAATAAATTACTAAGGTATACGTAGATCAATTTTTAGTGAAGCTCCATTAAATTAAACTCTTTGGAGAAAACAATTATAAGCCTAAAAGCATTGAGTAAGAGGTCATTTATTGCACATGGAGGTCTTTTAAAAAACTAGTAAAAATTTTTAAAAAAACAACATTCCCCAGGAATGCATCACCCTCCTTGTGTCTGGTATTTCTTCTTTTCTCTTCACTGCCCCATTTCTTCACTGGTCTGAAAACTTTCTAACTTTCTGGACCAGGAAATTACAAAACTGGGGAGGCAAGTATTGGAGAGAGAAGTCAATATTGGATTGCCAGATTTTTGTTTGGCCAAATGTGGGTATCTTTTGTTAAAGATATCTTCCAACTCTTCCTGATTTCTCAAATAAAAGACACTGTAACACTTGAAAGGACAATCTCTGCTTTTATGTCAATATATTTAGTTTTATAAAGAATTCATTACATTCTTTGGGCTCTCATTCAGCCCAAAAGAGAGATCATAGTCAGAGGGTGGTAACAAATCCTTACGTTCCCATTCAAGGTGAACTGCCACAAAGTTCACAGACAAAGCATTTACCAAGTTCTCACCATTACTCATTACTTCCTTCTTAGTCATTCCTCAGCTACAAAGAATCTGCCTTTCCCCTCCACCTGCACTACCACTGTACTTCACTAGCACTATGCCCCCACCAAGCTGCCAGTCATCTCCTACCTGTTGCCACACTTGACCTTCCTGTAGTTGTTGAATGTGAGCTTCTCCAAGGCAAACACTATGTCTTATCTAATCCTAGCATCCTATACAGAACTAGGCCAGTGCTTAATACATAGTTGCTATTCAGTAATGCAGATATTAAAAGAAAAATATTCATTTGCAGAAAGCTCTAGGTTACTGACAGAGAATCAAGCAGTCACAAGAGAATTCAACTGCAGCTCTGCCTACAGGGTTCTCGATATACCCAAGATGTTAATTTCATCTACATCTTAAAGTTTTTCTACAGTTTTGAATTTCAGAAATGATTGATTTCTGAAAGATTTTCTAACATATTTTTCAAATTCCAATTCCAATTTCACCTTTATTACCTGAAATTCAGCCCCTTGTGCTCATCAAACATACATGAACCAGTAATAATCCCCGTCAATACCCCCACTTTCATTCTACAGTTCATTTTTTGGTACAGAAAAAGTGGGGAGGAGGAGGGAGGTTTCCAGCAACCTTAAGACATCCTGTCAGTACTTCTCATGCATGCCTGGGTGTGGGGCCAGCTCCTTGCTATGTATAATGAGGAAAGATCATAAAATGTTGACAACTTTACTAAGTAACACTTCTCTAAGTACTTAAAATACTAAAATACTGACCCACAGAAAATGGTTTTGTTAGTTTTAAGAAATTTACTGAAATCTCATGGAACAGACACGTTTCAAACTATCTTACAGTGACATGATAAGGTGCAAGTTCTAACAATAACTGTACCATTCTCATAGAATATGGCACTCAAAATCACAAAGGTGGCCAATTTTATTCCTTTAATAAAGGCAATTCACCAGTACCTGAAAATAAATCAAGAGTGGGACTTACCCGTTCCACGGCTGCATTATGATCTGGGAGCTCCTCCTCACTGCAGAGGAATAATAGTAATATATGAAATTGTTGAATCAAAGCAAACTTTTCAAAATGTATATACTTATAGCTACATATGATATATAATATTTATTTGTCATCCCAAGTTTTACATAAGCTTCCATTCACTGAAGCCCCATCTTTAAAATCCAGATTTACACTGTCAAATATGGTAGCCACAAGCCATATTTAATTAATAAAAAGCATCTAGTTAACATTATAATTTAATTTAGTTTAACACTGAGTTATTCAGTCTCACTAGTCACAGTTCAAGTGCATGAATGTCAGGGAGCTAGAAGCTACCATATTGAGCGGTACAGATATGGACATTTCCATCACTGCAGACAGCTCCACCGGACAACACTGCTCCAGACTAGGAGTTAGCAAACTTCTTCTATCAAGATAAATATGTAAATAGTAAGTATGTGAGGCTTTCTGGAGCATACCATCTTTCTCACAACTATTCAGCTCCGCTGCCGTAGTACAAAAGCAACACAGCTACTACGTAAATCAAGTGTGGCTCTGTTCCCACAAACCTTTATTAAAGTAGGTGGTGAGCTGGATCTGCTCCAGGGGCCACATCTTGCCGCTCTCTGCTTTAGACCACCACCTCCACTGTTGGTTCAAACTATGGCCTATAATCAATGATCATTTTAAAAACTAACACAAAGAAAAAACTGCCTCCAACAGACTCGTGAATTCAAAGAGAAAACTTTATTCAGTACAATAAAGAATGCTCGGCCGGGCACAGTGGCTCACGCCTGTAATCCCAGCACTTTGGGAGGCTGGGGCAGGTGAATCACCTGAGGTCAGGAGTTGGAGTCCAGCCTGGCCAACATGGTGAAACCCCATTTCTACTAAAAATACAAAAATAAGCTGGGCGTGATGGCGGGCGCCTGTAATCCCAGCTACCTGGGAGGCTGAGACACGAGAATCACTTGAATCTGGCAGGCAGAGGTTGCAGTGAGCCGAGATCACACCACTATGCACTCCAGCCTAGGCGAGAACGAAGCTCCGTCTCAAAAAAAAAAAAAAAAAAAAAAAAAAGTATGCTTCACTGTCAAAATTTCAAGAGAGTATTTTTTAAGTGTACCCTAGAAGACCAAATTCATTTCTGATACAGTGTATTTGTAATATCATCTCTAATATAAAACATTATGAGATTCTTGTCTTAACTGTCAGTAATATAAAAACAACATGCTATCCATAAACAAAGCTAGGCACTTTGAGTAGCCTTCTCAGTAGCACTGTTTTGGCAACAGTATGTTCATATTCTTGCCTTAGTTTCTCTTGAGATCAAATAATATACCACCTTGAAGAGCATGATAGAGTGGTATTCACCAGTTTGGTCTTTTCAAAGGCATTCTTTTTCTACTCTGAGGAGTCTTTAGGTGAATGAACCATTACTACAGCAACAGAACTAACAGAAAAAGAGTAATAGCCAAAAGAGATCTCCAAGAGTCCAAACCTCTCATTTCAGAGACAATAAAACTAACATTTTCACTTAGTCATTCAGCCTAACAGAGAGATGTTTAGCACTAATTCAGTGGGTTCAACTTCAGACAGACAAGATCTTAGATTGTGCCAGGAGTCTATGAAGAAAAGGGATGAAGGCTGAGAAAACAATTCCCAAGAAGAAAACGATTAAAAATAAAAAGGCTTCAGACCTCACAGATGGATGATAGAGTGAGTATGTGGTCCAGCTTTCCTACACAGATTTTCTGGCATGATTTCTCCATGTCTAAAACTTTTCATGGAGAATCTGCTGTGTGCATACCAATCTCCACAAAGTCTTTCCTCCTCAAGTCTCTACGCCGGCATATGCTAATTTTCACAGCCTTCTGAGCACGACGCTGCTGCCGCTCACCAAGAGCTCCCTGTAATGCCCAGAATACGCATGCTGCTATGCTGGCGCTCAGTAAATGTTGCTGAATGAAGATATGAACAGGAGGAAGAACACATGCCTGCAGGCATGGATACATGCTTACCTTGCCTCCCAAATAGCCTTCAAGTGGAAGAGAAAAAAGAAGGACCACAATCTGGGCAAATGCAGAGAATTCCTTTAGGTCAGCAAACTATGGCCCACAGGCCAAATCCGGCCCACTGTGGGTTTTTTTTAAATAAAGTTTTAATGGAACATTGACACACTCTGTCATGGGTGTATTGTTTCTGGTTTTTTTCATGCTGCAACAGCAGAGTTGAGCAATTGTGACAAAGACCATTTTAACCTACAAAGCCAAAGATCCTTCATATCTGGCTCTTTACAGAAAATATTTGCCAACCCTGCTTTAGAGATCAAGGGCTTAAAAGCACTTAAAGGATGCTTTAACAAGACACTAAGGCGACAGCAAGTACCTATATCTCACAGAAATACAGTAGGGAAAACCATTAAACAGTCACCTCTGGCAAGAGAGACTGTAACTGCATACACTGTTCACCTACTCTTAAGCTTTGAAAGCATTACTAATTAGAGTTTACATGCCTACAACCTCTCAACAGCTAGGTGGAATATTTATATTAACTACAGGATGAAATTGCATTTGGTAACTTAAACGTTAACTTGTTAAAATTAATAAGATAACATTAATATTAACCAAATTCTATTTTTGTTTTTAAAGTAAATTTTATCTAAGTTTAAATTTATCCCCATCAAAATTTACAGGATTGGTAGAAAGAGTTTTCAAGCCCTTGTAATAAAAATGATATTCTCTAAAAACAAACACACCTTTATTCTGCAATATCATATATAGTCATGTTACGGAGTCATAGTTAAACTACAGAGAGTCTGCTAACTTTTACAAGTATACACATTTTGATAAGTAGCTGAAAATCTGAAGCTTGGTATTACTTTTATCTTCTTTATTTCTGGTATGACTTCCTTCTAATTCTGCTATTAATAACTTGTGACCTAAACACATTATCTACCCTCATCCAAATACCACACATTCTTTGTTAAGTAGACCAGCAGTGACTATTTTTGATTAAAATGTTAAAGTTCTCCAACTTCTTCCTTAAACTAGCTCTGTTTCTCCACTCTGCAGCTACAACTCCATCATGGCACACACTGGGAGAATGCTCCACTGCTGGGTACTAAAAAAAGAGGTTGCTCATCTAGCAGAGCCCACCCAGCTGGTTTGGCAACAGCTTTCATATTTATTGTGTAACCTATTCCAAAACCAAGTTGTTCTATAATATATTTGTTAATTACTGTCACTCCACATATCATAACAGGTAATTTAAATTTCTAAAACTGTAATTAGATATAAACTCAGACAACAAAGGTTACAAAGTTATTTTTGCCATTTTGTTGTATTAACGTCGACTCTTAAAACCCAATTTCACTGCAGAACCAATAAAAAATTACAAAGAACAAAGACAGTAGAAAGAAACGCTCTTTTAATCAACATTTGACAGGGAGTAATATCCAAATGGTTTTATTCAATAGTGCATAAAACTCCAGTCTGTGGTGACAAGCGATAAAAACCACTAGTAACAATGTCTGGAGAAAATGTTTTACTTAAATTACTCATTGTAACAAAAATCACAGATTTTGGTGAAATTTATTGAAGCCCAACATTACGCTAAGATCCGTTTATATGCTTCATTATTTTCATTTGTGTTGCCTGTTTTAGGACTGCATCACGGAGTAAACAGAATTAATGTGATAGTATGAGAACTAGTACCGATCTGCTGCAATTTCAAAAAAGCAGTGAGCTTAGCTATCCTAGTACGTATCTGAACAGCAGTGTTCATTTCAAACAGCATCCTTCACTTCAGGTATTCTTTTTCCCCTTTAACTTTCTTTCTAGGTACTTCAAAGCACTTGTTCTGTATTTCTCTTATTTAAAATACAAGAAAGCAGCAACAGGCAGTATACTGTAGTAGTTCAAAACACAAGCTCTGCAGGAGGACTGCCAAGGTCCACACCCTAGAGCTGACGCTCACTGTCAATACAACATGGGCAAGTTACTTGACCTCTGTGCTTTAGTTTCATCACCTAAAAAGAGGAAGACAAAAACAGTACCTACCCCAAAGAGCTTTTCAGGGGAATAATTGAGTTATTCCAAAGAGCATAGAACAGTGCCTGGCACACAGTAAGTGCACAATATTAGCACTTTTTCCCCACTACAGCCAAACGAACCTTAACACAGACAGTAAAAAAACAAATACAAAAGAAATGATTGCAATATTCAGACTGCCAAATACAGACTAGGCTCCTTGGCCAGAACCACTTGGTTCAAGGCTATAATAGTTCAAATACTGTTTTAAACCAATAAATGCTTTTCAAGAGACAAGAGTCAGAGAGACAGGCTGCTTTCACTGGGGAATGTCTTCCCACCCAACTATCACAAGTGTGGACAAATCACTGGATCCATGTTTGCAGGCATATTTCATGAAAATTTAGTTGGCACCTATATTCATTAGTTTACAATTTCATTTTTGTATACCTTTCAGATTTGTGAATGCAGTTTTTTCTTTAAATGTTTAACTTGATAGTGTGTTTTCAATTCCTCCAAGTTAATGAACTATGTGTATGTGTGATCACATGAGTGTGTTTAAATGTAAATAATGTACTTGCACATTTAGAATTTTACATTGGAATCCATAATGGTAATTATGGATTAGTCAAATACAGCATTTGCCGGTTTTAAAAAAAGTACCCCTTGTTTCTAGGGCCCAGCTCATGTTATTTTAAGCAATAAGAAAAGAAAATGTAGGTAATTAATAGACCCTTTCTGGAATGCACAGGTTTCCATGTATATTTTATAGCGTATTGGACCATCTTACGATTAAAAGAACACACATACATTATCTGGTTCAGTGGTTCCTTCCCAACAGAAACACCTGGGAAGGTCAAAATCAGCTGAGGTGCCTCCTATCTTTTGAATAAAAATCTAAGAAAGACCTAGAAATCTATTTAAACCATTTCCCAGCTGATTCTAATGTGCAGGCAAGTTTGGGACCCACTGGTGTTAACAGTCTTAATGCTCAAATTGTCCTTCATACACTAACCCACACATATATGCAGTCATTTCTTGTCACGTTTATAGCCAAGTAATCATGGTTCATGCCACGTAATCCCAGTACTTTGGGAGACCAAGATGGGCTCAGCCGTTCAAGACCAGCCTGGCCAACACAGTGAAATCCCATCTCTACTAAAAGTACAAAAATTGCCAAGTGTAGTGGTGCACGCCTATAATCCCAGCTACTCAGGAGGCTGAGGCAGGAGAACTGCTTGAACCTGGGAGGCGGAGGTTGCAGTGAGCTCAGATCACGCCACTGCACTCTAGCCAGGGCAACAGAGCAAGACACTGTCTCAAAAAAAAAAAAAAAAAAGTAGGGATGTCAATTTAATTTAAGAGCAGTATTTCCAGCACAGTTAAAAATTCTGTTAGTCTAGCGAAGTTCAAAGCCTTCTGAATATAGAGGTGGAAAGACTGCTTGAGGCCAGGAGTTTGAGAAACAAGGCCAGACCCCAGCTCTACAAAAATAAAGCAAAACAAGGTCTTCTGATTATAACTACCCAGAAGAACACTTCAGATATGCTAATGTCATTAGGTATAATCACACCTTATATATCTCCAGAACTTTACAAAGTACTCTTACATTTTATTTTTTCAAAGCCTCAAATATACCTGAATGTATATAAAATAGATATGTAAACTAATTCCTGTGGCTCACGCCTGTAATCCCAGCACTTTGGGAGGCCAAGGCGGGTGGATCACGAGGTCAAGAGATCGAGACCATCCTGGTCAACATGTTGAAACCCCGTCTCCAATCAAAATACAAAAAATTAGCTGGGCATGGTGGCACGTGCCTGTAATCCCAGCTACTCAGGAGGCTGAGGCAGGAGAACTGCCTGAACCCAGGAGGTGGAGGTTGCGGTGAGCCGGGATCGCGCCATTGCGCTCCAGCCTGGGTAACAAGAGCCAAACTCCATCTCCAAAGGAAAAAATGAAGCACAAAATGGTTACATGACCAGGAACAGCAAAGCCACAAGAAGAGCACACATTCTCCAGTTCCGGGTTTCTGTTTGTTGGTTGGTTGCTTTTACTCTCAGAAAAATATAATACTATAAAATAAATTCTAGACTGAAAAAACAAAAAAGAAGAAAAGAAGGTCTGAGGACTGTACATTACTAAGAACTACACAAAAAATGTTTTTCCTTCAAAATTTTATCACGTATCATAAAATAAAAATTCCTGGCTTTTTTTCCTATCTGTAATAACTGAAATTGGAAAGGAGCACAGTTGAATGAAAATTTAGTTAATCCTTAAATTGTATGGAACCAAAGTATAAAGATGAGTAGAAGTCTCTAGCCTGTAGGAATCTGTTTAAACAATGTCAGAATCGGAACAGACAGATTCATATCATGTGCAGGATGTTTTTAAGGATCCAAATTATTTTAACCTACTTTACCTTATAGTGATCGAGACCTCTCTCAACTCTTCATATAACATATTCAGGATGAATGGAATTAATTTTGAGAAGCAATATTATGAATACATTTATAACTATAAGGAAGAGCAATGGCATTTCTTTACAATGCTCATTTTTAGGCTGCATAAAAATAAAGTTCAAATTGCTAATTATTTTTTAAATGCACTGGTACACTATGAAATGTTTTATAATTTTTTTTTAAATGCAAATTATACATTTGCATTTACCTCTGTTAAATTATTAATGTAACTCATTTACTGCACTTTATGTTTTTACTAAATTGCAAAAATATTTAAAATTACATTCTTAAACATAGTTAAATTTTAATCACAGAGTTGTTAAGAATCCCAAGAATTTAGTACGGAAAAGCATATTGTAAGACTATTACTTATTCACAGTAATTATATAAAAAAATTTAAAAATCTTTATAATAGGTGACCACAGAAACACTATAATCAAAAAAAGCAAGCTTTCAATCTATGTGACTTACTGTAAAAAGCCAAATCTATCTGTGACTTTGTACACAAGGTAATCGGCATCTTCCCAAGGTTCAATCTCTGCACCTTCTCGTCCCTAAAATAAGGCACACACACACAAATGTTAATCAGAGTTTACAAAACAATTTTTAAAAAAATAAAAGAATGAAGAAATAAAGGCTATTTTTAATGTACTATTAAAAATAAGAGGTGGAAATGAGGCATTATGAATCTTAACATTTTTTTCCCATTTAAACCCAACTATTTTTGGCAAGATAAACACTATTTCCTAGTTATGACTCTGGAAGATACTGTGTGTCAGCAGCAGCTGACGTGGAGCTGAGCCTGGATCAGGCCAGGGTTCCTTGAGGAAAGAAGAGAGATGGGGATGAGAAAGCTACTCAAGAGAAACTGCCGAACCTTACGGTTCTAGACCAAACATATCTCAGAAAAAGATGGTTTTTGTTTTGTTTTTTATGCAAACTCCTCAAAGAAGCAGGCAGAGAAGCTCCTTGTCTATTTCTTTACTTCAAAGCTATGCCAGCCTAAAACTACTCTTAACAAGGTCAGACCTGGTGGACACTCCTCAGGCCTCATCTAATGGATCTCTGAAGTGTACTTGTCAGTGTCGCTCACTCCCTCTTCCCAACTCCTGTGACACTGTCCTCTCATGGTCTTCTCATGCCTGCCAACTCTTCTTTTGGCTTTTTCGTTCTTTTTTCTTTTTTTTTTTTTTTGAGATGGAGTCTCATTCTGTCGCCCAGGCTGGAGTGCAATGGCTCGATCTTGGCTCACTGCAACCTCTGCCTCCTGGGTTCTTGCAATTCTCCTGCCTCAGCCTCCTGAGTACCTGGGACTATCGGCGCATACTGCTACACCTGGCTAATTCTTTGTATTTTAGTAGAGATGGGGTTTCACCATGTTGCCCAGGCTGGTCTCCAACTCCTGAGGTCAGGCAATCCACCTGCCTCAGCCTCCCAAAGTGCTGGGATTACAGGCATGAACCACCATACCCAGCTTCTTTTGGTTTTTTCATGGGTAACTCTTCATTGCTGGTGTGCCCAGAGTTCGGTCCACAGCCTGCTGCTCTTCTTAATGTAGGTATCATTTACTCGTAGGCTACTAACAAACACTGATCAGTGAAGAAACCCCAAATATATCTATCTATACCAATCCCTCTAATTTTAGACTCAAACTCCCAACTGTCTTGTGGGCACTGGCATCTGAGTGTATTTTATAACCGTCTGCTTGTGTGTTCTCCTCTTAGTACACTGTGAGCATGCTGTAGGCAAGGACTGCTGGCACTCATTTCTGTCTGTGAATCCCCAAGCACGATGTCTGGCCTGTGTTAACTGTAGGGGAAAAAAATGCACACAGGCAGGAATGAATGATGGTGACACTGGTTCTAAATTAGTGAAGCAGTTAAATAAGTAAACTGTTTTTCACGGACTACAATGAAATCTCATCACAGTAAGGGAAACAGTGTCTGACGTTCCAAAAATGAACTCTGGGAACTTAACTGATAAGCTGAGCACCACCTTATGCCTCATGGAAGGAGGGCACAGTCCAGGTGGCTTTCTATGATTTCATCTCCTGTTATTCTCACAAATAATCAAAAGGAACAGATATATAATTACATGCAAGTGATACAAATACAAAACATAACATTTATAAATCGCTTCTAGGACTCATTACAGACCTCAGGAGGTAAAGCATAAGAGGTATGTCAATGGTCAATAATTGTGATTTTCTGTAATATCAAAAAGAGATTCCACACCAACATAAGGATAAAATGCTAATGGGAATTATACATAAACGTATAAATTCAAAATCTAAGATCCATGGTAAATTTATAATAGCATTTGTAAATTATGAATGCAATGGATATACAGTTCAATATACTTACTTAGTCAAGTATTTACTGAGTACCTAGTGTGAATCAGGTAATGTTCTAGGCATTTAGGATACAAAAGTAAATCAAAGAAAAGAAATTCCTGCCTAGAAGGCAGAGTCTCGGCAGGTGTACGGAGTGCTGCAGGTAGAAGCAGAGGCATTAAACAGGGAGGGGGGAGGTCAGAGAAGATCTCAGTAAGATGGTAGCATCTGAGGAAAGAGCTGAAAGACATGAGGCAATAAGACATGAGGATATCGAGGACGCAAGTGTCCCAGGCAGAGGAAACAGCCAGTGCAAAGGCCCTGAGGCAGGAGCAGGCCTGGTGTGCTGAAGGAACAGCAATAGACTGAAGTGGAGAAAAGGAGGAAGAAAAAGAGGAGATGAAGTCAGAGAAGAAAGACGACCTCTATGTCCCTGTGAAGTGAACAAACTGCTTCTGTAATTTAAGCTCTCCAAAAAGCAAATCCATTTCTATTTATATGGTTTTCTAATAAAACTCACTTGAAGAGTAAATACAGATACTTACTCTGTCATATTTAGCAACTATTTCAGCTCGCTCCTGGGCAAGTTTGAGTGCTACATCCTGGTCTGAATCTGCGGAAAAGACATCAAATTTAAATGAACTGTTATTGAAAGAACCGTACAGTTAATTAATTATGAAACTAAGACAAAATAAATACAAATAAAACAAAACAATGAATACTGCCTAAAATGACAAATCAACAAAATCAATAAAAGAACAAATTAAGTGTCTGTAAATACAGCGTTGGAATAGCAATACAAAGTCATATTCAAGAAGAAAAGCAAGTGTATTGAGGCATACACGGAGGACATAGTAAATCTTATCTTTCATGAATTCATTTTGGATCTGAAATTTCACAGAAATTGGTATCAAGTAGAAAATGAAACTGAAAGCTCTAAATTTTCAGATGAAGCCCACTTGGGTAGAAGAGATGAACATTCAAAAAGGCTTTCAAAAAGTAAAGGAACTTGGATCCCCACAAAATAAACTAGCACAAGATACAATATTTATTTTACATGATACAAATACATCTTCGTTTAGCCTTTTAGGTCTCTTTATCAACAGTCGCCGCTGCTATAATAATCTCCTAACTTATCTGGGACTCTGGCTTTATGATACACATGTGTGTTTACACACACACACATACGCACACATCCTTCATCCTCATTAACACTAGGAGACTTTCAAAAACACAAATCTGACAACAAAAGTTGAGATCATAACATGAAATAGCACGAATATGTACCATAAATTTTTTTAAAAGATCAATAGCAGACTATATAAAAGGCATCTCTTATCAAAACAAGAAAAAAAAAAAGCAATCTAAGAGAAAATTCTGCAACGGTTATGAGCAAGAAATTCCCAAAAGCAGCAACAGCAGTAACACAGTAACAACTGTATTGCATTCTTACTGAGTGCCTGGCAGACAGGAAGATACTGCCAGGCAGCAAACACTGTGCTCATCACCTTACTCTGCCTTACCCATGACACTCTAAGGTAGGTAACATTAAGAATCCTACACCAACGACAAAAAAAAAAGAGGCTTAGAAATTTTAAGCAACTTGTCCACAGGCAAAGATAGTTTTCAATTCTAGTCTTGACTCCACAGCCCGCAATTTTAATTACTACTTTATAAAAATGATTACTAAAGACATAGAAGGCAGATGGAATACACACTTTTGTGTGTATTTAAATGAAATTTAATTCTTGAAATGCCCTCCTCAAAGCAAATGGTGGTTCCTCAGGAGAGGTGGGGTTGAAAAAAAAGGGAGCTGAGTAAAGAAGTTAAGTCCCTGAAAGCTGAAGGAACACGCATGTGTGTAGCAAAGCCAGGTGCAGGGTGGAAAACCAAATCCTCATTCTCCAAAGCAGGAAATCAATAGAAATGCCAAAAACAGAAGATGCAGGAAATAGCAATACTGGCATATTAGAGTAATGGAGGCACACAAGAAAAGAATCAGCCAGGGCAGTGTAGAGTGCTTACTTTTACAGGGTAGGCAGTGAAAAATACAGGAGTCGGCCATTTTCAAAAAAGTTGTATCGACTGCTGAATCTTTAAGCCAAATGTAAGTCTGATAAAAATAAAAAGTAAAATGAAAACCAAGACATAGAAAAAAAAATCACCCTCATTAGTAACTAAAGAAATATAAGTTTCAAAATATCACTGTGCACCTATTTAGCCTAACCAAAAAAAATGCATGGATAATACTCAATGTTGACAACAATGTGAGTTCCTTACTTCATTGCAGTTCCTTACAATGAAGACAAACATATAAATATATAAAATCTTTCTGCAAAGTAATTTGATAATACGTATAAAAAATCTGAAAACAGACATATCCTTACCCAGCAATTCTGCCTCTACAGATTTATGCCAGTGAGATAATCAGACAACACAAGGTTGTTTATAATAGTAAAAACAGCAGAGTGGAAGTTGTAAATATGTAAAAGCTTATTTGGGAAAAAATGTTTGTGTCACTGCTTCTCCCAGTTAAACTACAAAATGTTAATATGCTTTCCTTTGCGGGATGTGTGAATAACTAAACAGAGTGATTCAATAAAATAAAAATACACATGAGTTGTTCAGATTTTCACCATGAATTAATGCAAACAAAAGTCTGAGATAATCAATTATATACATATTCACTATTCTATTTTAAACTTATGAGCCTTTGTCAGTTCCTTTTTCACTCTTCTGTTGCCCAATTTTAAAACATGATACACATCTACCAAAGTGTAAGGAATGCAAATTAAAAGAAATTAAAATCAAGCTGGGTGTGGTGGCTCATGCCTGTAATCCCATGGCAGGCAGATCACTTGAGGCCAGGAGTTTGAGACCACCCTGGCCAACATGGCAAAACCCCATCTCTACTAAAAATACAAAAATTAGCTGGGCATGGTGGTGCACACCCGTAGTCCCAGCTAGTCAGAGGCTGAGGCAGGAGAACTGATTGAACCCCGGAGGCAGAGGTTGCAGTGAGCTGAGATTGTGCCACTGCATTCCAGCCTGGGTGGCAGAGTGAGACCCTGTCTCAAAAAAAGAAAGGAAAGAAAGGAAAGGAAGGAAGGGGAAGGGAAAGGGGAAGGGGCAGGGGCAGGGGCAGGGGAAGGGGAAGGGGAAGGGGAAGGGGAAGGGAAGGGAAGGAAGAAAGGAAGAGAAAATAAAAAGAGGAAAGAAAAGGAAAAAAAATTAAATTCAAATGAGATAATTTGACTACTTATGAAACTTCATTTCTATTATCAGAAACATGTATTTCTTTGATAATTAGGCCAAATTCAATAGATAAATGCTTTATTGGAATGTCTTTTATACCAGTCCCTTATTCCTGCTACTTACTAGTCCTAGGAGTCTCAAGTATATTTCAAATATAGCAATGAAAAGTTTAAAGTGTAAAGGCCAGGAACGGGGTTGGGAGGTGAAGGCATGAAGTATCCCAGGAAAACATCATTGCGGCCAACTACAAAATAGAAACCTTTACATAGATCACTGTCAGTCTATAGAGACTTCCAGAAACCCTGGACTTCTTACTGGAATTGGATGAAATTGTATCCTGATTTTTTGGGAGAAGGATGATGTACTTTAAAGTGATCAGAACAGTTAACTCTAAATCAAATAAATAAATTCTCAATCTTTAAACTCCCTTAGAAATTTCTTATCCCCGAGTTTCTCCATGGGGAGAAAATTTTATAATATTAATGTATGTATTCTAAAAGGAGGGTGAATTCAAAGCCAAGTGCATTTTGGAAAATATAGCCAAATCTGCTTCTTCAAGGAAACTAAATGAAACATGTCAATCTTTGCCAATATGCAGTTTAGAGACATTATTTGAAAATCTGCATTGCAAGACAACCATCTATACAGTAAGACGCGGTATCCTTAGGTGGGGCTTGCTGTAGTTAAATTATGGCTCATACTATCTGGTCTGAAATTTATTAAGAATTATACTAGAATACCTCCTTTGGTTTCATTCTGATTACTTATTTAGAAATTCTGTTGGAAGTACCAACAGTGTGCCCCAAAACAGTGACTGCAAATGGTATCAACAGCTGTCTTGTGTCTGTGTGAGCATGTGAACAAAGTTCCAGGCACCTACAAACAACGGCAGCTCTGTTGGTTGGTACTTACGTCACAACATTATCAAATAAAAATTTAATCGGGGCATTATCCCAACAATTCACACCACATCTTTATGCTCTCGTTGCATGATATATCCATAATTAGTAAGTTTATTTGGAAAAATGTGGTTTGAAATACAATACCACTTGTTGTCAAAGTACTATGGTAAACAGCAATCATGAGTGTTAGAATAATTGTCGCTGAAGAAAAGGTTCCTATTATTAAAAACAAAAATAAAACCATGTGCAGAAATATGTAGCTCAATTACTTTCTTTTCTTTCAAGACCAAGTCTCACTCTGTTGCCCAGGCTAGAGTGCAGTGGTGTGACCTCAGCTCACTGCAACTTCCACCTCCCAGGTTCAAGCTATTCTCCTGCCTCAACCTCCCGAGTAGCTGAGACTACAGGCATGAACCACCATGCCCAGCTAATTTTTGAATTGCTGGTAGAGATGGGGTTTCGCCATGATGGCCAGGCTGGTCTCAAATTCCTGACCTCAGGTGAGCCACCCACCTCAGCCTCCCAAAGCGCTGACATTACAGGCGTGAGCCACTGTACCCAACTGAGATCAACTATTATCAGTCCTCTCATTTCGCCAGGATTTTTAAAAAAAAAAAAAAAAAAAGCTATATTATCCAAGCCAAATTAAACCAAGTTATTTTTGATGACTTTATATCTAATGTAACAAAGTTTCAAAGTAAAAGAGGCATATTTCAAGCAATAAGGATGAGAAGATATTTGTATACTCAAGTGTGTAGGAAATATCAAGTATACAAGAAAATAACAGCACAAATTTACAGATAAAATGACTGTAAGCATTTTAGAAGCATTTTAAAAACTGAAAACCATACAATTCTAAGATGACCTCTTTTTCCATTTAATCTGCCAAGAACTTTTAAGAATCCAGTATCCTCCTGAGTCATATGATTTAAAAGCAGGCATTATATCTTACTGCCACTCAATTAACACCAAGTTGCAATGAAAAATTCATACAGTTACTAACGTTTATTTCCAATAGAACAAAATTTACAGCAGACTATTTTTCCTACAGTACATTTTGACAAATGAACATTAAAAATATAAACATCAACTTTAAAAGTACTTTACCCTTTGTCAGATAATCAGTCTGGCCTTGGGAATTAACAACAGCTTCAGTCCTCATAGAGGAACTTATCTATTGCAAGATTTCATTATTATTTTATAGTTCTTGAACACACCAAGAGCGCTAGGTGGTACTTCACACATTCTGCAATAACTAAAACAAAGAAAAGCAAAAGCAGCTCTACTTTAAACTATCTGTGAAAAAAGCACAAGAAGAAAGCATTTGAGATGCATTTGGTCTTTTTCTAAGGGGGAAAAAGACTTTGCTGTGGTTGAAAGACTATATATTTTCAAACAAAGCTGATCATTGTTGAGAGTGAAAACATGGCTTTCAGGCTACATCTCAACTATGAGG